GTGCTCCTGTCTTGGATGATCTGCCCAGATCTTAGCTGGCTTTTCCCTATTCTCTCCTTCTCCAAGTGCTCTTTACCTGGAGGCTGGCAGTCTCATACTCACCCCTGGAGGGAAGCCTTATCATCACAGGGTGATAAACATTAATTGTACATGCAAGTATATTATCTCGCTCGCAGTTCACAGCTGTTTTCATAGGTCCTTGAAGCAGCTTCTCTTAATGGGAAAGGGGGAAGCAATGCAAGGAGGATAGGAAATCCCTGCTAGGAATGAGCTGGAAAATGCAGTGCTGCCCTGGGAATTCAGCCTGTTACTGTGTGAAGAAACTCTCCCTTTTTATCAGATAGAATCTCAATAATGTTTATTTCCAGAAAACGCTTTGAAAAGGTTGGGAGGAGGTAAATGAGATTCCACTGAGGTGTCTGACTTTCCATTTAAATATTTACTTGATAATTTTGGCTTATGGTGAAGAAGGAGGAAGATCAAGTTCTCCTGTCACCAGCTTACACATGTGGAAGTCTAGGTGCATATTTTACATACTCATTAACTGAAACTGGTTGGCCATTCTTCTGTTTTTCCTTCATGGAGAGGCATAACATGGAGAAGACTTCTCAAAAACATGTGAGAACCTTATTAGAATTCTCAGAAATCTCTTATGTTAAAACAGAAATTGGAAATAAGTGCTATCAACTGACTTTATTTATTATTATTGGACTGTTTTTACTTTCTTCAGCACACTATTATGTATGTGCAATCTGAGTTTAGGCAAGTTTATCTCTGCATAGGTACCGTGGCCCTGAGCTGGAGATGTGGTCACTTGGTGTCACCCTTTATACGCTAGTATTTGGAGAGAATCCCTTCTGTGAGCTGGAGGAGGCCATGGCAGCTGTCCTGAATCCTCCTCGGCCTGTCTCAAAAGGTAACTTTTTGCCATTTGCTTTTCTAAAGGAGCAGATCTCTTGGGAAGGTGTGAGCAATATCTATTCTCCAGAAATAAAAGGGAAGACTGGAAAAAATGCTTCAAGATGTACACTGCAATGACTGTAAAAGCTGCTCAGTTATACCTCAGAAAACCAGAACAAATAATGCCTGATGGGAAGGATCAGTCTAGTAAATAACTTTAAGATCAGAAATGGCAGTCACGTAACTCTAAAGCAAGTTTTATCTCATTGAACTATTACCAGTCAAGCCCAATTCCCTTTGGTGACGGATGACAGTGTGTGGATTTATAACTTCTGAATGAATTGTATGGCTTGACCTCACAGGAAAAATACATTGGCCTTGTTTTCTGTTTGAGGTATAGAATGCTAATTACCTGTCAGGCTAATAAAATCTCCATCAACAAATCCTCAGGGGTCCTTAGGAGCACTGTGGTTATAAGGCTTGAGGGGGCTGCAATTGGCTGATAAATCCTTGAAGCTTTCACTGACCCCAGAAGTGCATATTTAGTCACACAGGAAACACGGGATGACTGCAGGATAAGACTGGGCTTGGAAACAGTGAGTCAGGGTGGTCCCTGTGACATTTGTTTCTACTTCTGTCGTCTTCAGTATCATAATTCTGTGCTCAGTTCTCTGTTTTCACAACCTGGAAATCTCAAGAGTGTTCCCAGACCTGAGCACATGTGAATAAGACTGTGATAGAATCGTACAGCACCAGGGTTTAATGGGGAGGATTTGTTATTATGATCTGCATTCTTTGAATATAAACCATATTTTGCACTCCCAGCATGCCTAAAATATAGCCTGAGCCATTCCTCTTACTGCTTTCTCTCTGCCCAGGTCTCATGAATCTCATGGTTGGCCTTTTGCATCCTGTTCCAGAGCAGCGCATGACTCTGGTGATGTTAGTAGAGGATCAGTGGCTGAAGCAGCCTGTGAACCTGGGTGATTATACATGGGAAGAGGTATACCTGTCTGCTGAGACAGGTGAGATGTTGTCCTGAAGGCTTTTTCCCCCACCCAGGGCCCACTGAGCGTGTAGGAATGATTTCTAAGAGAGGACTGAACTGTGGTTAGCAAGATACTTCTCATCAGGTCACCTACTGCTATCCAAACACGCTCAGTTTGAAAGTATGCTCATTGTCTGGTAGAACCTGTGGTTCAATCCTCACTGTCTTTCTCCCTAGAAAGCAGCAGATTCAGAAATGGTTCTGGTGAGTGGGTGCATGGAGACAAGCTCCCAGCTCCTCACATGGAGAGTGAGCCAGTCTTGAATGCTCCTGACTGATCATGCATATTCCCACTGGGGAGAAGCAGCGGCTGTGGAGTGCCAGGGCTTGGGCCTGGGACTTTGCTGCCATTCTTCTCCACAGCACAAATCCCTCCCTGGGGAACGGTAACTCCCTTACTCAAGAATCAACAGAAATGAACTGTAAGCCTTAGATTGCTGCTATGTCTCTCATGTAGAAAGATCTGGTGGTTGGTACTGAGCAGCCTTAAGCTGCTCCGCCTGGGCACAGTTCCTCTAGAAAACCTTCTAGCCATAAGCATTTATTACTGTTCTTACACAGGATGTGATTTAAAGTTGTGAGACAGAGATTTTAGTGTCTTGTTTAAATTGTTCATCACTCGGGATACATTTTTATTGTCTGGTTTTACTTTTGTATATGTAGTTTCACTTGTTCTGAAAGAGAATTCCATGATGGGGGGTGTCTCTTCCCCCCCACCCCTTTTTTTTTTATTTGTCAGTCCTCTCTACATCCAGAAAAATAGTCCTTGATTTTGATGAGACAAAGATACTGGAAATAAAAAAATAGATTACAAAGAACTTGAACCAGTTCACAATATTGAGATGAAATCCTTTCAGTGTGCAGCTCAGCCAGACTCAGACTTCCTAAAGTGATGGGAAATGCAGCAGTTCTCATGCCTGCTGCTGGTGTCAGACATAATCTTAGTGGAGAAGCAAGAGGACTTGGCTGGAAAATCAAGGCTTTTAAAGCCAGCTAAAATATTAAAGATTAGCTCTTGGAATCCAGCTGTTGACTGTTACCTCCATCTGAACACGTTTATATTAGGCATTAGGAAAAAAAGTAAAAAACCCCCACTGTGAGGGTGCTGAGGCCCTGGCACAGGTTGCCCAGAAGAAGCTGTGGATGCCCCACCCCTGGCAGTGCTCAAGGCCAGGCTGGATGGGGCTTGGAGCCACCTGGTCTAGTGGAAGGTGTCCCTGCCCATGGCAGGGGATTGGAACTGGATGAGCTTTAAGGACCCTTCCAACCCAAACCATCCTATTGCATAGTAACTTCATGGTAAAATGCATTCTGCAGCTTAACTGTGGCACTGAGGGAAGGCTGCACCCTGGCTCCAGGGCTTGGACCTCTTCTCTGCCCTGACTGGGGGGCAGTTCCCTATTGCGTCGTTCCCATGGCAGAAATCACCTCTGCACCGGGATCGACTTTGGGAAGACCTTCCTTTCCAAAGCGCTTTCGGGGCTGAGTTTTAGAGGGGGGCATCCATCAGGCTGCTCCTTGTTCCGTTACAGGCTCCCTGCCCTGTTTTGCCACTGCCGCTCTGCGCTCTCCCCGTGGGTTACCGCGACTGCTTTGCTGAGGGCGAGTTCGCCCCTATGGCTCGGGAAGAGGCCGGTTAGGGGCAGTTGCGCTTTCTCCTGGGGACGAGGGGGTCACGCCAGCACCGCCTCCTGCCGACCTAACCGGGCTCCCAACGCTGCTCGCAGCGGGAGCAGAGCTACCCCGGGCCGCGGCAGCTGGGGCGGAGCCTCCGCGGCCCCTCCTCGGGGCGGCCGCGCTGTGCCGGGCATGGCGGGGCGGCTGTTGCGTGGCGGCCTGCAAGCTGCGGGGTTGTGCCCCCGCCGCTCCTGCGGGGAGGCGGCGGGGCTGCGGGCCATGGGCTTCAGCCAGCAGCAGGCTCAGCGGCTTCTAGACGTAGAGTCCCGGCTCAGCCCGGAGCACCGGGAGGCGGCGGTGGCTCAGCTGCTGCTGCTGGGGCTCAACGCCGAAGCCACCCTCGGCCTGCTGGAGCGGAGGCCGGAGCTTCTGCGGATGCCGACGAAGCGGTTGCAGGAGCGCGCCGAAAAGCTTCGGTGCCTGGGGCTCGACGGAGGTAAGGCAGAGCAGCGGGGGGGGTAGACGCGGGGATGGTGTTTGCTGGGAAGCGGCACCTCCCGTCCCGCTCACGCCGGCTCCCGCAGGACAGCTGCAGCGGGCCCTCATCCGCTGCCCCGAGCTTTTCACCTTGCCCCGGAAGAGGATGGCGGCGGCGGTACGGCTGCTGCGGGAGCGGTGTCTCTTCACAGCGGAGCAGCTCCGCGAGGTGCTGTGGACCTGCCCCAACGTGCTGCTGGAGGAGCCGCACCAGCTCCACCACCACTTCCAGGTGAGGGGGGCGGCCACGGGGAACGCGTCTCCTGCGTGGTGGGTACCAGGGCCAGGAGAGCATGAGGCACCCCGTCCCGCCCGCAGTACGTGTACTTCAGGATGGGAGTCCAGCAGAAGGAGATGGTGAAGGCCCGCCTTTTCCGAATGCCCTTTGCTGAGCTCAGGAACCGGCACATCTTCCTGGAGCGCCGGGGGCTCTACCAGACCCCGTACAAAGGCCAGACCCAAACGAATAACCCAAAGCTAAAGGACATCATTCAGCTCTCAGAGAAAGACTTCCTGGCCAACCTGGCCCGCTCCACTCCAGAGGAGTTTGAGGTCTTCAAGAAACTGCTGGCTCGAGAGGAGGAAGAGGAGGAAGGAGAAGAGGAGAACAGGGATGCTCTGTACACAGAGGAAGATGAAGACTTTGACAGTGAAGGAAGTAAACCTGCCTGGGAGTGAGAAGGTGAGGCTCCAAGATGCCCATGCTCTCCTATGCTAGTGCACTCCCAGGACCCACTGCACTTGTGGGTGCTCAGGGCCCCCACCCCACACAGGCATATGCCTTGGTGGCTGCAGGCCTCCATGTGTTGGAGCCCCACTGAGGGGTTAAAATAAAGCCCGTGCATAAGAATGCAGCAATAACTCTCGTTCCTCCTCATTGACCAACTACTTTAAAAAATCCAGTTTCCATAAAGTGTTTTTATTTGGAAAAGAAAATCAAACCAAAATAACTAATTTATTTCCAAGGCTAGGTTAAAATTTTCTGGCTGCAGTACATAGTGTGTTGGTGGTGGGGCAGGAAGTGGCACGCTGCTGTGCCGGCTCACAGCGGCACCACGCTGCCTGTCACTGCAGGAGCACAGATCATGGGACTGTCCCATGGCAGGGCCACTGCCATTGCTACAGTCCGTGTTGGTGTTGGTTTCATGGCTGACAAGATGGGGGTGCATACACTTTCTGACCATGGCCCCAAAACTTCCCCTCCCTTGTGGATAGCAGAGGCTGTTGTGGCTTTCCCCTTACTCTGCTCTTCCTGGCAGGGGCTGGTTTCTTTTCATGCCCAGGGGAAGCAGGATTGCAGTGCTCATGTTGCGGGGCACATCACCTGGCCCTTCTGGCTATGGCTTTACAGTGTCCTTGTTCCTCCACAGTGCCTGGGCAGCTGCTACTGGGAGGGAGAGGATGGTGCCAGGAGCACTGAAAGTCCTGGGCCTGTTCTGCTCTGAGGGCAGCTTCTGGGCTGCAGCTTGACATGTGTGGCTGAAGAACAAAGCGCCCTGTGATGCTTGCAGAACGCTGCTGGGGAAATAACACTCTATACCATAACTACGATATATCTCTGGTATGTATTAATTTATAATATACACTGTGTATGGTAATACACAAATCTATGTTTAACTAGTGTTGTCGTACAAACAAAAACTAGGAATGTTTCTAAGCTACGCTTTTTCGTTGCCTGCCCTGCTGCAGCTGGTGGGGCAGTGCTGCGTGCTGGTCTGCTCCTCTGTGGGGAACAGAAATGCTGTGAGCAGCTCAGAGGGGTGCAGGGGGACACCGCTTTGTTCCTGGGCCTGTACTGTGCCCTGCACTGGCTTAGAGGCACATAGCATGGTGTTATGACTCGGCTGACAAACTCTGCTGTACAGAACACTTAAAATTCATTCTAGGTGCTCTACTGCGTTCTAAGCTGGAAAGCTGGTTAAACCAGGGATCCTTTACAAAGCAAAGGGAAAAGGCAGGCAGTAGAAGCTGCCTCAATTTCCCCCACTGGAGCAGAGGGGATGGGGATGCGACTCCAGTGCCTGTGCTCCCCCCACTGCTAAGGGGGGTTACTCCCCATTTCTAGCTTGTCTACACTGGGAAAGTCTCCTCCAACGAGATTGCTGTGGGCTCACATCAGGTGATAGCTACAGCTTTCTGGTCTGCATTAAACTGTTTTATTTAGGGGTTATGGGTAATTTATAACTTTGGATTACAAAAACAGATTGGTGCAGATGCCATTGGCAGGGAGCAGGGCTTAGCTCCACTGATGCCTGAGCAGAGCTGGAAGCCTTTGTGCAGAGCAGCTGGCGGGGGGGGACAGTAAGGCTGGTCACCTGGGGGGCAGTCAGCCAGCTGCTGCGGGACACCAGCACTTAGCTCCTGGTGGGGCAGAGACAGCTAGAGTAAGGCAAGCCAGAGCGAAGGCAGTGCTGGTCCAGTGGAGGGAAGGGAGTGCTGCTCAGTGCGCCGATCTGGCTGTGTATCCCTAACTGGCTGGAGAAGAGGGAGAGGCTGATGCCAAGCAGGAAGGTTCCCCTGCTGTGTTCAACCCAGTGAGCAGATCTGATCTTCCTGGTGTTACAAAGAAAACCCTTTAGAAGTGGAAAGATGAAGCTTCTACTTGTTTGAATCCTGTGAAGGAGCAGGAGGAAAATAAACTGGTGTGTAGAGTCCCCCAAAAGCCCTGCAGCTGCCTCTTCCCACCCTATGCACCCATCTCTGATTGGGAGATGGGGATCTGCACCCTCCAGTGCCAAGGCTCTTTCTGTGCAGGAATCTATTGTTCATGGGGCTGTAGAGCCACAGGGAAGCAGGGCATTCCCCTCTGCCCTTCCACCCCACCACAGCCGGGAGCCCTCAGCGGCATGCCCAAGCCAAACCAACACAGGAGCTGGAGAGCCCTCACACCCCATCAATGTGGCAGTGTGAGCCTGGACTGTGGCTCTGGCCTCCACCCCTATCCTCCCCAGCTCCCTGTGTGGGATATGCAGGAGCTGCCCCTCTTTGCCCATGGCTAAGGAGGGCCTAGAGCAGGTACTTACTTTAGGACTTCCTCAGTGTGTGACTGGTGCTTGGTTTTCTGAAAAGAGAAGAGAGGGGAGTGCTGTCAGCCATCGCTTGCAGGGAGGGCAGCGCAGAGCTGGTCTGCTGCTGCTAGCTGTACCTGCTGGTTGTTGTCTCGGAACCGGTGCTCTTGCAGCTCTCCTTGTAGCAGACATCCTGGTGTACCTTGTAGACTCTCCTGTACCTACACACAGAGTGGAGGGGTGAGTTAGAGGGAGTAACAGGGACAGATCTGCTTCTGAGTACAAGGAGGGTAATCTGGGGATCTCCCCCATTTCCTTCCAGGCTACGGTAGCCAGAACTGACTGACCCCACACACCAGGCCCTTGTGCTTCCATCACAGGAAGACCAGTGGCGTGGGGGACGCAAAGCAGATGCACCCCCCCTCATGCCATGGTATTGCAACGGGGCTGGCCCAGCCCTCTGCTTACAGGTGGAAAGGCACCCAGGGCCTGGGCTGGCAGGCAGGGGGAGCACGCACACACACCAAATACAGCCTCAGTAACACATAGGTGGGTAACACTGCTATGGGGGCTGTCATTTCAGCAATACCCTGCCCTGAAACACCACTGGTGGGGCAGCACCAGGGACTTGAGGGCACACAAAGCTGTTCAGCCTGCACTGGGGAGGGGGCAGCTGCCAGCTGGGGTCTGAGACGGCCTCGTGCTTGCGCTCCCTTCCCCAGAGCCAAGCTGCAGGGACAGATCCCCGGCTCTGAGCACAAGGGAAGGGGGGGAGCACAACACGCAGGCAGTACTCACAGGTAGTGGCAGGTACCTCCTTCCCACACAGGGAATGACTTGGTTTCCGAGTACAGCCGTGTGCACGAGTGTGGCACCTTCTTGCAGGCTGCTTGGGGAATAGGAGAGGGGAGCTACCAACAAGCCCATCTCTGGCCCTGCCTGCCTGTGCCCTATGGGAAGGGAAACCCCTCTGGCTGCCCCTTTGCTGTCCTGGAAGGCTGGGCCCAACAGAGCTGGCCCACCAGGAGAAGCAGAGCCCCCAGCTTTGCAGTGCCCAGATAACTACATGGGCAGGGCAGGGGCCTGGGTTGCAAGGCTGGCCGGTGGAGGTGGAGGCCTTGGTCGGGAGCAGACCTGGACTCCTTGATCTGCCCAAACTGACAGGAGCAGAGCACAGCCCTCCCTCTCTAGCAGAGTCTGGGCATGGTGGGAGCACCCTTGGCTGAGAGGAGCTGGGTGCTGCTCGGTGACCTGCACCCCAGGAGACCTGTGGCCAGGACAGCTCCAGGCTGGGCACACACCATCCCGTGCAAGAGGGAGCTCGGCCCCCAGCAGCAGCTCAGCACTCACCCAGCTCGCAGAGCCGGCCCTTGAACCCTGAGGGGCAGCTGCAGTGGTAGGACTGGACACCTCTGGTGCAGGTGCCTCCGTTCCTGCAGGGGTTCATGGAGCAGTTCTGCCTCTCACCTGCAAAACATAACAATTGTCAGACCCCACGGCACAGCCCTGCCCACCCCTCTGGCATGCCCTGGGAGAAGCAGGTAAACAGGGATGGGGCAGTTGGCAGGGACGGGGAGGGCAGGACTCCTGGTAGGGCAGCAATATGGAGGCAGGCTGGTGCCAAGTGCTCTGCCTGTCTGCAAGGCCTGAACCAGGCCCTGCTGCTCATGTGTCCCCCCCCAAGACTTACTCTTGCTCTTGTTCTCCTGCAGCTGCAGTGCCAGGCTGCTGTGGCTGGGTGCTTCCATGTTCTCCAGCTTCACTGGAGCATCTGGCTCTGAGGAACAAGAGTCCAGTGTCACCTCCAGTCAGAGCCAGACCCAAAGGCAGCCCCTCCAGCTTGCCCACAGCATCAGGGGGCTGGTCAGGCCTGAAGCAGAGGTTTAGCCCTTCCCAGCTGGCATCCCTAGAATTAGGGTGACCATCTCCCCCTTCCTGGAGGGCTGTGGGGCACAGCAGGCTGTGCCTCCCCTGGGGAGGCAGGAGCAGAGCAGAGACACGTGGCAAGCCCAGGGCTGTTGTCAGGTGTGCCAGACCCCTTTCCTATCCCATTCCGTGGGGTTCCCAGGCCTGGCAGATTTTGGGGATGGCGTTTGGATCCCTGGTGTTCCAGGGATGGCAAATGGGGGGCTGGTCTTGGGGTAGTGAGGGGCTTCTCACCCAGGCACCCTCCTCGAGTGTGAGGCTGTGTCTGGCAGTGGGGTCTCAGGCTGCTGGGCAGGCAGGGCCTGTACTGGAGGGCAGCAGGGTCACTGCCTGGGCTACTGCTGCTGCTGCCAGGCGAGAGGCAGCCTGTACCACAGCCAGCATCGCCTCCCATCAGCGAGGGTCCCTCTCTGGGCTTCCTGACTGGCTCTGAGTCACCCCTCTCCCTGGGCAGGGATCTAGCAAGCAGAGCAGGTGTTTGTCTGCCTTCCTTTATGGCTCCACCATCCCTACAGACAGCAGCCTGCCCAGCTGCCACCCTGTCCTGGGGATAGGCACAGGAGATGACACTGGATGAAGGGGGTGAGGGTGAGCAGAAAGGCAGCAGAGCGCTTACGTGTCTTCATGCTGATGGATTTGCCAAACCTGGCACTGATCCTCCCTCTGCCATCTACCAGCTCGGTGAACCTGGGACAGAAGAGCCATGAAGCTAAGGGGCCCTGCGGGTCCCCCAAGCCATAACCATCCCACAGTCTACGGCTGGATGCAGGGTTCAGTGTGAGTCCTGGGCAGCGCAGGGGACCTGCTCACAGCAGAAGCATGACTGACTTGTTCATGTGTGCACCCAGACACAGGAGCTGGGACAAAGGCCAACCGAAAGGAGCAGTGCCTACCTGGGGGCTGGCGAGGGCTCCTCAGCTGCGTTGTGATCTGCTAGCAAGCGGAGCTCAGGCAGAAAAGCTGGAGGCAGCCTGTTGCGCAGGACCCGGGGGTGTCCAGGTTGGCTCCACCGTCTCTCCGGAGCCCCATCCCTCTGCACTGCAGACCAAAGGGTTAGACTCAGTGGGAGGCAGGCCATGAGTGTGCCAGTCCCTTGTACCCAGGATGCTGTTTAGAGCTGCCTGGGGATACGTGTACACCCTCCACAAGGCTGGGCTGTGAGTGCTATTCCCAGTGAAGCATCTGCACTGCCCTAACAGAGACAGCATCCTGCAACCCCCACCTCCTGTTCCCAGAACCTCCTGCAAGCACCCAGTTCTGGGGTGGCAAGTCCCCATGAGCATAGAATTCTTGATCAGCTAGCCTTCAGCCCCTTGCCCCACTGCCTTGTGCTGCAGCAAACCCCAGCCCCAGCGAGCTGGGCACTCACATGTGGTGACGTAGAGGTAGATGGGCTCACTGTGCACTTGGCCTTGCTCTGTGTTCTGCACAGCTGTGACAGACAGGCGGTACCTCTGCCCAGGGAGCAGGTCTCGCACCGTATAGGACACAAGCTTCCCGTTGGGCACGTAGCGGCTCTTCACACTCTGAGCGGTGGTGACGTTGATGATGTACCCCTCAACGGCACCGGCAGGTGGCTGCTCCCATGCCATGGACACAGATGTAGTGGTGACACGGGAGGCAGTGAGGTTCTGGGGGGGAAGAGGCCCTGGGGAAGGCAGCAGCCGGGGAGAAAAAAGGTCAGCACTTATGTACTTGACTGCGACTGCCTTACTTGCTCACATGCCACTCTGTAAGCATGCCCTGGCCAGCCCTCAGCCCGGCTCCAGCCATGCAACACACCAGCAGGAGATGGTCAGTGCTGGGTCCCTGCCAAGGCGGGCAGAGCCTCACTGCACCCTGGCACCCGGTCTGGCCCTCACCACCCTCCAGCTGCTGTACGCAGGGGAGCAACTTGGGCCTGTGCAGACTTCACACGGGGCTGAGCTGGGCAAGGAAAGCCATCTGGCAGGGGAGGACAAGCCGCAGCCCTTCCTGCCGCTCCCCAAGGCTGCCTGCACAGCTCCTGCCCGCTGTGCTTGCCACAGGCGGATGGCTTTCGCACCTTCCCCTCCCTTGCGGCTTTCCTGCTGGCCACAAGCTGCAGCTGCCCTGCCCCTGCCAAGTCCCAGGGCCCCTGCAACAGCAGGGGTTGGCAGACACCCCCACTCACTTGTCCATACGTGGAAGGGAGCTGTGGCCAGACTCTCCGAGAGGTGGTCTTCTGTCCCCAGGCCGCTCAGTGTCGTGACATGGACAATGTACTTCTCTCCTGGCTGCAGGTCCCTGTGGAGGAGGAAGGCAGGGTGGGCAGGGGTAAGCTGGGCAGGCTGGGAGGGCCAGCTGGCCCAGCACCTGCCTGCTGCCCCACTCACAGGAAGGTGTACTTGGCCACGCTGCTGTTCAGCTCCACGGTGCGGTCTGCCAGGTCCCCCGGTTGGCGGATGGAGACACGCACCCTACTGACAGTGGAGTGCTTGAGCCGGTGGAGAGCCCATTGCACCGTGATGGCGCTGGCTGTCACATTCGTGATCTCAAAGCCTTCCACCGGACGCGGTCCTGGCCGGAGCAAGCGGAGAGGGCTGCGGTCAGCCGCTGCTCACTGTGGGTCGTCCCATCTCTTCCCCACACCCCTGCAAGGGGAGTCCTGCCTGCCCCTCTGGGTTGACTTCCCAGCAGGAGCAGCTCAGCTGGACTGATGCTTTCCCATCCTCACCACCTGCGGGCAGGCATCTGCCTGCAAGGCCTCATGGCCCCAGCGCTACCCCTTCAGCTCCAATGGGGCTGCAGTGCCTCAACTTGGTCCTAAGCCTACCATATGGCCTAGCTACATACTAAGCCCAGTTCTCACTGCCGTGGCATCTGACCCTGGGCTTGAAGCCTCCCAAGGTGTTGTGGCCAGGGGTGCAGGCTCCTGCCGTGCCCAGTGCCGTGCCTGCCTTCTGCCCCGGGCTTCACTCAGTCTCAACCCACTCCAGGGGATGTGGCCCATGGGCTTTTCTCACCACCATCCCCCTCTCATTAGAGGGCAGCTTTTCTAGGTTTAATCCCCTCCATCTTCAGTTTGCACTTGATTTCTACATCTGCCTGCCCTAGAAAGCAGAACTGCAGCTGCTCTGCCTGCCTCTGCCCTCATAGAGGCGTCACTGTGCCCCTTTTCCTCTGCCCTTGAGCAGAGGTCCCTGCCAGCCCCTGACTTCTCTGGCACATCCCCACACTGAGCCAGGCAGGATGGTGGGGTGGGAGACTCTCCTGCAGGGCTCACTGTCAGCAGAGATCCCCCAGCCCCACTGCCTGGCTGGGATGGGGGCTTCTCCAGCTCAACCAAGCAGCACTGGGGACTCACACTACTCGGGGGCTAGTGACAAGGAGTAACCAGTGCAGCAGGCACAGCCTGGCCTTGATGAACAGGATCCAGAAGCAGTCCCCACTGCTGGCTCCCTTACCAGCCTCTGGGCAGAAGCCCAGTGAGCCACAGGGGGTTCAGTCCCCTTTCCCTCATAGCAAAGGGAACATCAATTCTGTGTCCAAGTGCTTTCCAAAGCTCCCCCCATATCCGCATTTTAGGATCTGCACCACCAAACCCAGCGGGGTTCCGTACAGGCCCGGGCTGCAGCTGGAGCCGGTGGCACGGAGGAGGCAGCACAAGCCCTGGCGCCTGCGGGAGCCACGTGTGGTCATGACCTGATCCCCCTGGGGACACTACTCACTAGTGCGTGTGGTGAGCATGACGGGCCTGCTGATATCATTCTTGTTGTTCACGTTGCGTTTGACTGAAAAGACAGAAATATTGTAGGCTCTGCCGGAGGCTAGTGCCCGCAATTGGTGGGCAGAACGACTTCGGTCCACAAAATCTGTCCTGCGGTAAGAGCCGTCGAGGGATACGTACGTCACGGCGTAGCCGTCAATGAGTTGCCTGGCAGCTGTGTCCTCAGGTGGGTGCCAAGAAATCAACACACCAGTGTCCTCCACCCTTTCCACCTTTAATGAGGTTGGTGGCAGCAATTCTTCAGGGTGTGGGCAAAAGCAAAGGGGAGAGGTAACGCCATGAATCTTTAGAGAACAGACCCCAGCAGCAAGAGGCAAGAGCAGCAGCGATGGAGCATGGGGCCCTTGCTCTCTCCCTTGGCACACCCAGCAGGGGCCCTGCAGGCACCAGCTGCCACCTGCCCAGCGGGCACAGGAGGAGCACCGGGAGCGCTCCCAGCCACTGCAACACGGTGGCACAGTGCTTGCCACCGTCTGCCAGGCCAGTGGCACCGGCGAGACAGGGCGAGGAGCCCCAGGAGGCTGGTACCGGCAGCGAGAGGCCTCCCTCGAACACCTCAGCCTCCCCTCCTGCGGGATCGCCATTGCTGCAGGAGGCCAGGCAAACCTGTCCCCAGCATCCTCATGCCAAGCCTGGTGTCCGCGGCAGCGGCTCAGCGCCCTCCCGTGGCACCGGCGCGGCCTGGGCTGCCCCCCACAGAGGCACGGCCCCAGCCCTGCCCGCCTCAAGGAGAGCTGCTGGTCCCCGATGGCGTCGAGCCCCACACGGGCAGTGGCCACTGCCGGGCCAGTGTCGAGCCCCGCGCACGTCCTGGTGCCGCTGCTGAGGGCCTTTACCTTTCTCGCAGCTCTTGCCTGTGTAGCTGACTTTGCAGGTGCAGCTGTGGGTGCCGTTGCCAGGCAGGCAGTAGCCTCTGCTCCCACAGGGACTGGAGAAGCACGGGTCGCTGGCTGCGGAGGTACCACGGCAGTGGCGTTAGCGGTGGCCAGCAGCCATCGGCCGCCCTGCACCAAGCTGCTCGTTCCCACCTCACCTGTCTCGCAGTGGTAGCCAAAGAAACCCTCCGGGCACACGCAGAGGTAGGAGCCCCTGTAGCTCTCACACTCCCCTCCATTCTGGCAAGGGCCTGACTCACAGGCATCCACTTCTGGAGGTGGGAGAAGGATGGTGGTGAGCAGGGGGCCCCCAGCATGGCAGCAGCCAGGCAATGGGCTCTCAAGGGACAGCGGGATGGACGTGCAGCCCCGGGCTCAGCACAGCCATTTTGGATCCAGAATCCCACCCAAGTGCCATGGTGGCCATGTTCCCTGGCAGGGGTGGGTGGATGCCTTCAGAAGGGGATCTGTTACCAGTGAACACCTTCGCTCCTTCCCCACCAGAGCAGTTTCAGCTCTGCCCCTGGAACCACAGGCAAGGAGGCACAATAGGCAGCGTGTGCCTAGTGTAATGGCTTGGGGACAGGGTGCCCAAGATGGTAACTAGTACAGATCCTGACTGTGTCCCAGTGCCCACAGCCCAGCCTCCCACTGGAAGTGCAAGTCCCTACCTGTCTCACACTGGGTCCCCACAAAGCCCTCGGGACAGTAGCAAGTGAAGGATGCAAGGAGGTCCTGGCAGGTCCCACCATTTTTGCAGGGCTCCGACTGGCATTCGTCAGTATCTGGGGAGTGACAAGAAGAAAGGCACCAGCTCAGCACAGACAGGGCCAGCAGCAGGGAATGAGGAGACCTGAAGAGGCGGCACTTCCCCTGCAGGGTGCAGACCCTCCCCACCTCACTTGCTACCCCAAGCCCACCAGACAAGAACAGTCCTGCTCCCAGAGCCATCAGGAGCCCACTACCCCATGTCTGCCCCTGTCCGGGGACTGCAGTGGGAGCTGGGCATGGGGACATGTCCTCAGGAACACCCGCTATGGCTGGCAATCTGGGGCTGTGCCAAGAGGTCCCATAAGGTGCCTGCAGCATGTGCCCTCCTCTGATCCCAGCAGGCATCCCACCTCTTCCCACCACCATCCTCTCCTAAAAGCAGGACTAGAGCTGCCTGCCACAGAGCACCACCAGACCTTTCACTACCTGTTATCTCCTTCAGCCAGTGTCCACATGCAACCATGACCATGTGCATACATAGGAGCACAGCATGACCTCAAGCTGCTTCTTCCCCCCGCCCCGTTCCACCCTGGCCAATAGCTTTGAAGCCCCAGGGACACTTCCCACCCAGATCCCAATATCTGGAGCTTCTGTGCATGGGCTTACAAGCATAAGGGTAAGTCAGTGCCCTATCAGTTATGGGGATGCCTATGCAGAATCCATTGGTAGGGGAGACACAAGTAGTGCATGTGTCCTCACAGCCCTGCCTGCTCCTCCAGCTGGGAGCAGCACACAGCAGCCCTGGAGTGTACCTGGCATGGTCTCTTACCTGACTCACAATGCTGGCCGGTGTAACCTGGCTCACACAAGCACAGGAACTCAGCAATGCGGTCCTTGCACTGACCACCATTCAGACAGGGCTGGGACTGGCACTCATTGATCTCTGCAGGTAGTTGTGCAGGGGAGAGACAAGGTAAGAGGCATGCGCACTGAGGAGGCACCCCCGGGGGGATCTGTCTGCAGACACAGACAGGAGAGGACCAGAGTACATGCCCTGGGGTCACCAAGCCAGGGTCATGGCCACAGCCCACTGGGACAGTGTGCCAGGGCTCAGCTGCTCCCCAGCTCTCCTCACCGTTGCATTCAGGGGGGTCACTCCAGACACCCGGTGAGTGGCAGACACGAGGGTGGTTGTGCTGGCTGAGGGTGTAGCCCAGCTCACACTGGTATTCGGCCACAGAGCCCACTTTGGTGGAGTTGAAAGACACCTGGGCGTGCTTCACCTCACTGGGAATACCACAGTCAACCACTGGGGAGAGATGGGGGTGTTGAGCAGGACCTGGAGAGGCACCCTGAGCCCCCGACTGGCAGGGGCAGCACAGAGCCCTTACCAGTCTGGCAGTGCCTCCCTATATAGCCCATGGGGCACGTGCAAGCATAGCCCTCGCCAAGGTCCTCACAGGTAGCACCATTCTCACAGGGGCTAAGGAAGCACGGGGAGGGCACTAGAAGAACAAAGAGTGACTGCTGTGGGGCTGGTAGAGCCCAGAAACAAGAGCCACTTCCCTTCCCCCCCTCAGCAGAGTACAAGGGAGATCCAAAGTGCTTCAAATTATAGGGAAGGGGATTCAAAGCAAGCAGGGAGGCTTGCTTGTTGCTGCCACCACCTCCCCAAGCATCCCCTGTCACTGGCACACCTTGCTCACACCTACCAGTCTCGCAGTGCCGGCCAGCGTAGCCTGGGGGACAGTCGCACTTATACTTGCCAATGTAGTGGAAGCAGGTGCCCCCGTTCTGGCAGGGCCCCGAGGCACAGGGGTCCGGCTTACCTGGGGGCAGAGGGCAGGTGGGAGCTGAGCAGTGAGCGGGACAACTGCCTCACATCCCAGGAGGGGGCAGGAGGCCATACCGATCTCACAGTGCTTCCCGGTGAAGCGGTAGGGGCAGGAGCAGTGGTACTCGCCATCTGTCTCTCTGCAGGTGCCCCCGTTACGACAGGGTCCCGTGCTGCAGAGCCGTGGCTTGGCTGCAGAGAACACCGAGAGCAAGGGGTCACCAACTGCTGCCCACATCCCAAAGGCCACTGCCTCCCACCAAACCCCTTGCTGCAGGAACATCGAGTGCACCCAGGCCTCCCCAACACCGCTGGATAACCCCGTGCAGAACTAGATGATCTTAAGGTAATTTCCTACCCTAACCATGCTATGATCCTCTGTGCCAGGACCTAAGGAGGCCACAGACATGTGATGCCAGGACACTGGCAGCTGCTCCTGAGACCCAAAGCTCAAGCATGCAAAACCACCTCCAACACTGATGGTGTTGTGCAGGAAACAAAACAACTGGATCAGCTGCTGTGAGTGTCAGGCCATGAAAGCAGACATGCAATGTTCCCTCCACGTGTGGGGTGGGATACCTGGTGCCCACTTCCAGCTGCAGCTCAGCAAGCAGCCACTCTTCTCCCACCCTCTGCCAGATCCTGGGGCCAGCAGAGTTCCATGCAGGTACCTTTCTCACAGTGCTTGCCAAGGAAGCCTCGAGGACACTCGCAGATGTACGAGTCATCATGAACCTGGCAGGACCCCCCATTCAGGCAGGGCTCCGAGTCGCAGGGGGATGGCATTGCTGCAAAGCCAAACACAGGGCATCAATGAGGAGGTAGGACCAGCGGTGTGAGGGCTGCTCCCCAGCTGATGACAGTATTCCCTGCTCACACTCCCCGCCCCCATCTGTGTCCCTTCCCAGGGCTGGTCCCACGTCCCTACAGATGAGACTCACTGTGGTTGGTGCCGTAGTCAGTGTGGCAGACGCAGAGGTAGCTCCCACCATACTCCATGCAGTACCCACCATCCGGACACTGTGTGTTCATGTTGCACGGGGTGGTGGTGACTTCTGCAAACACACGGACAGCACCAGCTTCCACCAGCTGGTGGCAGGACACCCAGCTGGCTCCCTGGCCAGAAGTGGGGGGGTCTCCTAATTTTGCCAGGTCTGAAGAGATGGGAGGGACCCTCTGTACAACTCCACAGACCATGCAAACAGCAAGGGCCAGCCCAGATGTCCAGTGAGATTCAGAGCAGGAGGGCACTAAGGCCGTGGTTCCCATCCCACCCAGGAAAGCCGGCTGGGACAAAGGGCTGGGAGAGGCACACCTCAAGGGGGGGTGCTGGAGATGGAAGTATTGCCTTCAAAAGGGACAATGTTTCTAGGCTCAAATTCAGGGCATGCCCCTGGCACCATGCTAGGCTCAGGCACGGGCAGAGTTTCTCCTTGTTTGACCACAGCCTGCCTGGCTCAAGCATCCTGGAGAGGGAGCACGTAGCAAGTGAGAAGCCTCCACCTACCGAATTCACAGAGGAGACCAAAAAACCCAGGCAGGCACTGGCAGATGGTGACATTCCCTTCCAGACAACTGCCTCCATTGCGACACTCGCAACCCTCTGAGAGCTCTGCAAGAGAGAAGATGGGAGCTTCCCAGGACCCCTCTCCCTTGTGGGGCTGCGACAGCCAAGCAGCCTTGCTGGATGCCACCCATGGAGGAAGCTCAGGTGGGTGGCAGCTACGAGCCCCCCCCGACACATCCTCCTTCAACAGGATAGACCCACTGTTCAGTCCAGGAGCACCAAACAGGTTTTCAGGGGTTGCTGCTTCTCCCTCTTAGGAATGTGAGGGCTCCCCTTGAGATGCCAAACCCCACTGGAGAGACTCCCCCTCATACTCACTGTCTCGACAGTCCTGTCCAGTGTAGCCCTCCCGGCACTCACAGAGGTAGCCCTGCTCTGTCTCCAGGCAGCTGCCCGCATTCTGGCAGGGTTGGGAGAGGCAGGCGCCAGACACGCGGGGCCCACCTGCAGGGAAGAGGGAGGCTGAGCTAGAGCCATCCCAGCGTGGGGCTGGAACACGCTCTGCCCTAGAGGAGCCAGTGCAGAACTGGTCCACACTGAAGACCCCACTGCAGCTGAGCAGCACTGCTGGAAGGAGTTCCCTCCCTGGAATCACCACAATCCCTGCACATATGGAATCATAGAATCAACTAGGATGGAAAAGACCTTTAAGATCATCGAGTCCAACCTTTACCCCAGGACTGCCAAGTCCACCACTAAACCATGTCATTAAGGGCCTCTTCTGCATGTTTTCTGAATGCTTCCAGGGACGGTGATTCCACCACTGCCCTGGGCAGCCTGTTCACCCTTTCAGTGAAGAAATCTTTCCATTCTGTAAGCCACATGCTGCCTGCCAGCTTTCAGCAGTGCCTATGGCTGATGCAGCCCCTTTTCAGCAATTTGCCCTTCCCACCCAGCTCCCCAAAAAACAGCTCCCATGGCAGGCTGGGCAAGGTGCACCTCTGCTCACCGTACTGGCAGTTGTTGCCATAATAACCGGGGGAGCACGTGCAGATGTAGCGGCCTGGGCGGATGTAGTTGCACGTCTGCCGGTTCCGGCAGCTCCGGTCCTCACAGATAGACGAGTCTGAGGAGGGGGAAAGCAAGTGAGCAAGAGATGAGCAGAGCCCAGCGCTGGGAAAAGGGCTGTGATGGCCCAGCTGAGCACTGTGGACACAGTCCCTGACATGGGTCATCCTGTGGCACAGGATGCAGGAGCAGGCACCTGTCTCGCAGCGCTGTCCCACAAAGGGCTCCAGACACATACAGGTGTAGTTATCGACCAGGTCAACACAATGCCCACCATTCAGGCATGGGCTGGACTCACACTCGTTCAGCTCTGCAAGGAGAGGTCAAGAGGGGCGGTTAGGTGCAGGTACAGCTGGTTCACCACTGCCTCCCATCCTGAGCACTCCCCTTCCAAACTCCAGCTGGGGCTGAAGCATGATGGGAAAGCAGTTTGCCAAGGCGTGAGGTGCCCCATTTCCTCCCCATGCCACGGACCTGTCTGGCAGTCTGCCCCTGTGTACCCCGGCTGGCACAAGCACACTGCTGTCCCATTCACTGCCTGGCATGTCCCGCCGTTGTGGCACACTTTGCTCTCACATGGCAGCTCTTCTGCAGGGGAGCACCAAGAAAAGGAAACAAAAGAGGGGGAATCAACCCAGGCACAGGGCTGGCACATGCCTCTGCACACACAGCGATGCTGGGGCTGAGCAGACCGTGTAGCTTGGAGCCAACAATGCATCCTCTGGCAGGAGACAGTGGCCATGTCCCAGCCCCAGCTCTTCCCAAAACCATCCTTGGGCAGCTCAGCCCTTCCATCCCCCTGCACCTCTTGGATGCCAGCATGCTGGGCTGGGAATTCCTCCCTCCCTTCCTTGAAAGTCAGCTCCCTGCTCGCCTTCTCCACCAGTGCAGAGGCTTGCTGGGAGCCAAGCATTTTGGCAGCATTTCCACTGGGGGGATGGAGGCCAACAGCAGGAGAAACCGGGCACCACAGCCCTGTCAGGGACCGGGAGAGTCCCCACTGACTTCAGAGGGCTCAGGACCACAGCATCAACTGCAAAAGCAGGGCCTCCAAGGCTTCTGTTTAACGCTAACTGCCAGCTTTTCTCACTGAAGGAGCGGTGGGCAGCAGGGAGAGGTGCTGGTGGCAGCACTGAGCTGGGCCCTCAGTAGGGTGTGCTGCCAGGGGCAGGAAGGGCTTGCGGCCAGAGCAAAGGTTCCTTTGCCTGCAGCATGCTGAAATCCAAGCTGGCTGTTGCAAACTGCTGCAGGAACCCCGGTCTGAAGAGTGCTCCCAAGAGCAGCAGTGCTCCCCAAGCCTGGGTCTTAGCTCTTCAAGCACAGCAAAAAGCCAGCCCTGCCGCACTGGTAGCCCCGTGCTCACCGGTCTCACAGTTGGCACCTCTGAAGCCCAGTGGGCACATGCAGCTGAAGTTGCCAGCACCGTTGAGGCACATGGCTCCATTCTGACATGGGTTGGAGAGACACTCGTCCACATCTGAAACACAGCCCCACATGGGGCGGGAGCTCAGAACAGGGACAGAACAGGAACACAAAGACTGCCAGCATGCAGCAGTGACACCAGGAATGAAAGAAACCTGCTTCCTGGGGCACAGTGCCGGGAGCTTGCTCAGGACACACACTCACCGACATGGCACCTCTTCCCAGTAAAGCCAGCCAGGCAGGAGCAGGTGTAGGAGGGGTTCCCTGTGATGCAGTCCTCAATACACTTCCCCCCATTCAGGCAGGGCCGCAATGTGAGGCAGACAGAGGCTGTGGGGACAGAGGGTGGCCCCGCATCAGCCTGCATCCCTGCACAGCTCACCCGCCGCCTTCCAGCCACACCAGTGCCAGGGGCTGTCCCTGCACCCACCCGGCTCCCCAGAGCGCTCAGGGAGCCCACAGGGGCTGCCTGTCTCACAGCAGGGCATGGTTCATTCCTCATGGGCTCCCCTGGGACACGGTGGGCAGTTTTAATTCCTCCCATGGGAGGAGAAAAGGCTGCAGAGGGTCAGCCCCTCAGGCTGGAGGCACGTGGACATGCCCTTTCTTATCACCCAGGGCAGAGGGAAAAGGGTATGGGAGAGCCCATCTACAGCAAACCCACTGGTAACACGCGAGACACACACAGATCAAGTGTGGGAAAGGGGATGCGTCAGGCCCCCTGGGGTGGGGAACATGGCCCAGCCCTTGTGCCCCAGCCCCATCGGGGAGGCTGGAACCCAGCAGCTCTCCAGATGGCCTTCCCAACCTCCTGAGATTCATGGAGGCATGCATCCCTCAAGGGTGCCGGCCCCTCATGCCCTCCTCTGCCTGCAGCAGGCTGGTGGGGTTGCACTGTGCGTTGTCACCTTCTTCCCAGCCTCCCTTATCACTCCCCACAAGCTCTTTTCATCTCAAAAGTCTTCCTCCCCTCCCCATTTGCTCTCCCAGCCCCTTCCCAGTCCCAGGGCACCCATGGGTGACATCTCCAGCCATGGCAGGTGCTGAGGAGGGTCCCCCCCATGGCTGCCTCCCCTCCCTCCCCAAGTACTTTGAGCCGCCTCCTCCACCCCATAGAGGTGGGGGTTTGAGGCAGGGAAAAGACAGGGCTGGAGAACAGTGTGGGGTTGGGTTGGGAGTTAAATAAACCTAACTGCTGTCCTCTTACTTGTATTGCTGCAGCCCCCCACTTGCACCTGGGCATCATCGATTCTGAACACCCAGCGCCCGGGGATACCCACATTTGTCGTCATCTCCACGTCAGCGATGTCATCAGTGCGAGATCCAGGGATGTTGAAGTAGCGCTTTCCATCACCGGCGTTAAAACCTGCCTGGGAGGACAAGGGCAGAGGGTAAAGAGACATCACTGGTGCAGAGGGGAAGGCAGCTGGAGCACAAAGGCTTGTTTGCCTGCCACTCAACACTGCCAGCAGCACTGCTCGGACCAGCTGACCCTTTCCACACAGCACCAGCCAGCATTCAGCCCTGTCCGTGTGCCAGGATGACAGCCAGCACGATGGGGCAAAGCAGCCATGCTGCCCACTCGGACCCTCCCCTGGGATTCAAAACCCATCCGCTTCCTCTCCACCTGCAGCATCCTGCCTGCTGCAGGCTGGCAGGCAGGGAGCCAAGCACAGATCAACTGCCAGTAAATTCACACATCCGAATGCGTACTGGGGTTTTTGCGGGTGGGGGTTTTTTGTTTTTTTTTGCCTTAAACACAACAAGGAACACAAGGATGAAATATAAATACAAGTGAAAGCTGTGCTGGCTGTGGCAGCTGCTCTTAAAGGCTGTGGTTAGGAAGGAAAAGGGACTACAAGGCAGCAGCCAAGGCAAAGACCTGTGGTTTCAGGATTACAGAGCCCCCTGTATGGTCTCAGCTTTGGAGGCCAGAGCACACACGGATATTCAACAACTTAAAGAAAAGAAAAAAAGGCAGGGGAGGCTATCCACCTCCGAAAAACCCAAACCAGGAGCCACAAGCTCTTGGGGCAGATGTGCTACCTGGGCACCCTGGGACCACGTTTGCCACTTACCTGTGCTGCAATGCCGCCGAGCCCGGCAAAGTCCCCCCCACTGCTGGCGTGCATACCCGTGGTCCATGTGATGGACTCATAGTTGAAGATGGTGAAGGAGAGCTTGCCATCCGTGATGAGGACGATCTGGAAAGTGTTTACCTGCATCATGGAAGGGAAGAGCAGTGAGCAGGCAGGAGCATGGCGAGCAAACCAGTGAGAAGATAATGAGATAATGGAAAAAGCATTTAGCAAAGGGGTGTTTCTCTGAGCCTCAGTCCTCCTCTGCTAGAAAGGATAGTTGGGTTGGCTGCCCAGCACCCCAGCCAGCAGGAAAAATGGAAATGTGGTTATCGGGCCTCTGGAAGAAAGGCATCAAACCCTGTCTGCGACCAGCTCCTGGTACCCAAAATGGGGGATGCTGGCAATTTACAGCCTTCAGGCAACACAGAGAGGAGGGTTTGGTTTTCCCAACCTAGCACTGCTCCATTATGGCAAAGCATCACAAGGGAGCTGCTGGGGATGGCTTAGCTCTGCTGACAGGAGCACCACTGCCACGGAAAGCATCCAAGCTCTGTTGAGATGCTCCCTTTAAAGAAACTCTACCCCTAAACCCGTGGTTCCTTTGCCCCAGCTACCCACCGGTGAAAATGAGTTGCCCCCGAAGAAGGTCACTCGGTACCAGGTGGCGATGAAGACCCACTGTGCGGAAAACCCTGGGAACTCGGGGAAATACTGTGCGATGTCCCTGCTTGCTCTCTCCAGGATTGACTGCTCTGTGCTCTCCCGGTAGTACACATCGCCCGCCCGCCGGTTGTCCACGTCTGCCCAGAAAGCAGCCACCACACGCCGGTCCTTGGAGATGGGAAAGGCCACCGGCGTGAACTGGGAGACCTCCTTCAGGAACGAGATGATCCCGTTATTGTTCACCTGGGGAGAGGGAAGGAAAGAAACGGGTGGCCACGGTTGATTCCTGCCAGCAGAATGTATTAAAGGCACTTTCCATTTCACCTTTCTTCCCACCCCCCTTTCCACAAATATTGGAGAGCTTCCCCTTCCTGCCCTTGGAAGCAGAGTTGTGCCCCAGCGCCCACAGCCCCCCGCTTGCTGGAGCATGGCTACAGGGAGGCAGCCACCCGAACAAACCAGCCCTGTTCTCCACCGCGACCAGGCCAGGGGAAGGGGGAAACAGCTGAGAAAACTGCAGCGGCCCCAGCGCTTTAAACAAACAGTGCCCAGCGAGCTTGGCCAGCTCACGGCAGCACTCGTGGGGGGGACCTGGGGCTGCCTCGCCTGCTCTCTAAGGGCTGACACGCAGCCTGTGGGCCTGCAGTCTTCGGCTCAGCATTGTTGCCACCCTCCTGGCCAGGAAGTCACCGGCCTGGGATAGGGGAAAGCCTTGCCAGTCAGTAATCCATCTGCTGGTATGTGTGGTACTGGGTTAGCTAACGGGCTCATAGTCCCCACATGACCAAGTGCATCCCATGCAAAGCCCCCGGTGCAGGCTGCTGTTGTTAAAGCAGGAGATACCAGACACCCCAAGGCAAGCTACTTGGAGCTCCAAGCACTTCCCAGCAGTAATTAACTGGGATAATTAGGGTCCTGGGATGCCTAGCCTAGGGATGCACAGCAGAGGCAGGCCTCAGCCCAGGAGATAGTGAATGCTGCTGCCTAAAGTGATACCCTCCGGCTTGGGGATACAGCAGGAGCAAAGAAGGGGAGGAAAAACTCCTGCCTGCATTGTTGCCTGAGCAGGCAGGGAGGGAGCAAGGATCAAAGGGAAACACTCTTGCCCTCAGGCTCCAAATTCCCCTGAGGAGACCTTGCCAACAGTAGCAATCACAGTGGAGCCAGCAGCTTCCAGGCACTCCTCTCCCATGCCCAGAGTGCTGCCTGTAAGCGACAGCAGCACAGACAGGAGCCCAGGCCCCCAGCTGAGCCCCCCCAGCATGTAATACCGGCTCCAGCAATACTGACCCAGCAATCCCCTGGGCTGCAGGGTGCGAAGGCGAGGGGGGAGTCACAGAGCAGGCAAGAAGCCCTTGAGCAGAGAGAGCAGCCCTGGCATGCAGCAGGCAGCAGCCTCACGCTCACATGTTGACAAGGGCTTGGGAGCCAGTGTCCTGCCAGGAGCCATGCGGGAGCCAGCATGCCACCTGGCAGAGGCAGCCTGGGATGGCATCCTGCAGGCCCTGGGATGGTCCCCAGCCCCTCTGCGTGAACACGGGGCAGTCCTTGTGGTGACTAAGGGGAAGAGGATTCCTGTTTCCCAAAGCCTCTGTAACCCCACGGTGTCCGCGGAGGAACATTCTTCCCCTGATTAAAGCAAGATGGGAGAGAGCTGGAGCCAAGAAGGGCTTTTTTTTGTGTTGTTGTTGTTGCTGGTTTTTGCAAAGGAGGAGGGGATGGTTGGAGGCAGCCCTTGAGAACAGAGGTTTCCAGGTGAGCGCAGTACCAGGCCAGCTCCCCCAGCATAGAAGCCCCTTAGGGAGGAACAGCCCTGTCACACAGACCCCATGCCCAGTGAGCTGGCCCTGCAGAGCCAGGGGGTCTTGGTTCTGGGGAGGTGGACGCACTGCTCTCTGAGCCCTGCGGCCCCTCCAAGTCCCAGAGCAGTGCTTAGACCCCGTATCAGACAGCCATCACTTCCCTTGGTTTCTTCCAATCTCTTCTTCCCTTCCACCGTGGCTCAAGCCCCAAGCCCAGGTCCCTCCCACTCAATGGCAGGGCTAATGCCTTTATTAGTGGAAAAAAACCCAAACCACTGCCGGCAAGGACCAAGGGCCTCCTGTGCTTAGCCGAGGCAGTGGGACAGTACATGAGCCCAGGTCCAAGGTCAGACCCTCCTCAGCCAGCTGGGTCCAGACTTATCGGTCAGCCCAAAGCAAACCATGGAGAAGAGAAGGGACCAGGATGCCCGCAGATACACTGCTCCAGGTGGGAGCTGACATAGAGAGCACAGAGCCCACTCCATGACACAAGGCAGGCGTTTGGAGCCAGTACTGCCCAAAAGGCTCCAGGGTCAACCTGGAGCCGATGGCCACAGCTGCAGGGGACATGATGGGCCAGGCATGACTTGACCTCTGGCCACTGTCCTCTCGAGGTGGGTCAGGGGCTGCACATGAGCAGAGCTCCAAGCAGCGTGTCCAACCCAGCGGGAGCAGGGAGGAGAGGAAAGGGAGCAGGATGTGCCGAGTGGCCGGCCAAGCCCCACTGCAGTACAACTGAAAGGGCAGCTGTATATTCTGCATCGCACTGGGAGCCTTGCCATCACCTCCTCCCAGCAAGGGCCACGGCACACTGGCTCTGGTCCTACAGGATCTCCCCTGCTCTCAGCACACTGTTACTCCTCTGATGCTCCAAGTTAAACGGGGACCACCCAACCATGGAAACTCAGATGCACCTGGATCCACCCGAGGGGACAGTGAGGAAATAAAAGGAAATAGAAGGAAGAAATAGAAGGCCCCTGGGAGGACTCCTCGGTACTCACGTAGAGGCCGGTGTGTCCCGCCCCGAAAAAGGGGAAGGGGACAGAGAGGGGCCGCAACTCGGAGCCGCCGTCGTCCTGCTTCCTTGTGGCGGCGTCGCCCTCGGCGGGCCCGAAGGGGTAGAAATCCGCCAGCGGCACCACGCCGCCCGCCCGCAGCAGCAGCCACTCGCCCAGGGCCACCAGCACGGCCCAGCCCGCCAGGGCCCGCATGGCCGCCGGGGACCCGCCGCTCGCCTGTTCACGCCGGCACCGGCCACCGCGGCATGGCGGGGCAGGGGAAGGGCGCCCGTTCACGGGCACAGGGCTCGCAGATGGCGGCGGCCGCGGCCCGGAGCGCAGCGCTGTGGGGCTGGGGCGCGGAGCCGGCGGCTCGGGAGCGCTCTGCCGCTACAGCTCGGAGCGCCGCTGCCGCGCCGGGCGCCTTCACCCCTCCAACCCCGCCCCGCGAGGCGGTTGATTTGCATATCGCGGGGCGGGCAGCCAATGGGTGCTCGGCGCGCCGAGAGGGCGGTGGCAGGGGGCGGGTCATGCAAATGAGACGGGGGGTCCCCACGAGGGGTGCGGTCCCTCGGTGAGGAACTGGGGCGGAGCGGGGACCCCACGCAGGGACCCTCCCGTCGCGCTCCCTCCTCCCAAGCCACCGGCGGAGGGACCCCATGGCAGCCCCATGCCCTACAGGAGGAGGAGTGGGGAGGGACACACCGGGTGTAGAGCCCACCTCCGCGGCCGCAGTTGAGCAGCGGGTCCCTTCTGCTTCCTTAAAACAGGAGCTGGAAGGGGGAAAACGTGGAGGGGGGGGGGGGGGAAGTGTTATATGCTTTTTTCCCCTTCTTTTTCCCTTTTCCTTTTTTTTCCTTTTTTTTTTTTTTTTTTTTCAGGTGCTAAAAATATTATCAGGAAATTCTTTTCAGGAATGCCATGTTTTAAGTTACGCTCCAGGCTCAAGGGCCTCTTTGTTTCCACTGGAGGAAAATAAAGAAACAACACACCTACCCCACATCTATCACCAGCAAATGGTTTTATCAAGCAAGAGTTCCCACAAAACTGTGGGGCTGCCCCCTGGGAGACTCCAATGAAAAGCATCACTGGGTTTGATCATTCATTCATAGTTAATCATGGGTGCTACCGCTGGGCAGGTGTTGGGCTGAGGGATCGAGTCAGGGGGGTGAAAGGTGGGATGCTCAGTGCCTCATCCCTTTCCCCTCCCACCTCCTGGTGCCCAAACAGCACATCCCGCAGCAGGAGCAACCAGGGTATGCAGGCACATGGGGAATATGAGGGAGAATTCCATCATTCAGCCCTATATGGGCTTCTGGGAAAACCACAGAAAGTTGTCGCCTGCCCCTGGCTGCTGGGATCGTGTCAGAATCCATTCCCTGGCTCCAGAGGTTTTCCATGTTATTCCACAGCCCTGCTGTATAAATATCCTCTTCTGTAACAATTGCGAGGTACAAATTGAAAAGAACCCAAGGAACAAATTATGTAAAGAGCAAAGAGCAGCAAACGGCAGTGGGACTGGGCTAGGACCGGCCATGGACACTGGCATGGAACGTTTGCCTCACCAAGGGGACCAGCTCTGCCATTGGTGTGAGAGAGCTTCCAAAACCCTTGTGCAGTCCTGCTGGCTGCCAGGATCATCGGCTCTCTGTGGAGCAGGGGAACTGAGGCATGGGGGTGGAAGGCCAAGAATGGGCGTGGGCACAGGGGTCACCTTGCAGTCATCGGGGATGCAGCACTCAGGGAAAAGCTGCAGGGCTTTGAAACGCCCATGGGGCAGTTCTGCACCCCTGGGCCCCCACAGCACCAGGATGTGCTCCCTCCTGGAGTGGCCCTTAAAGCCAGACTCAGATCTGCCCAACCCTTTGAGATGCCAGAGGCACCTCAGCTGGCTCCAGGACCAAACACTGTGCTGGCAGTCAAGCGCCGCTGCTGAACTTAGTGAAGTGTCCCTGTCCCTTTAAAAATCTCCTGGAAGAAAATGTTAAAAGGAAAAAAAAAGAGGGAAAAAAAAAAAAAGAAAAAGCTAAATCCAAAATAAATAAACGGCCACATCCGGATTTCTCCCCTGAGACACTAATAAAGGCTTTATGAGTTTGATATGAATTACCCTCCCTGGCCATTTACAGCTGATCTTCTGGAAGGCATTAGGCTGCTGTCCCCTTCCCTGGCCCGGCGGATGCTGGAGCGGGGAGCACAGTGGGGGCACCACCACCCCCTCCATACAGCCCATCTGAGACCCATTTCTTTTAGGGATCAACTGGGGGCTTCCAAAAAACTGGAGGCTTTCCCAGCCCTGCTGTGCCATGCTATGCCCCACTGCAAGCTCAGCTCCCAGAGAACATGGGGACATGGTGGTACCAACCTGACCCCTGTCACAAGCATCCCCACAGGGGCCAGCCCTGGGTTCCTGCCAGTGGGTTTTCCCTGCAGGGATAGGCAGGGCAGGCAGCAGCCGCCCTGAGTGTGAGGAAAGGATTTTCTTCCAGGCAGGCTGTGCATGGGAAAGCAGTGCTATGCTCCCCCTGCACCGTCCCAGTCCAGCTCCCCGGGACGTTAAATTGAAAGCAGCAAACCGAGTGGGGAAAACAGCTGTGGGGCCCGGCCAGCAGCCATTTCCTCTGGGCCAGGAGCTGGAGCCGGTGCGAAGCCGGGCTCTGTGCTGGGAAGGCTGGGAGGAGCGCAGCGGGAAACAGCCCTCTCCCTGCACCATCTGGCCAATCTCTGGCCACTGCCACCATTGCCTGCTCCTTCTTCAGGAGCAAATGCCTCTTTCCTCTGCCTGCAGCTGCTTTTAGGGTGCCCAGCTTTTTTGGTTGCCCCCAAAATGGATCTGGGCCCACCCCAGGGGGTGGGGTTGGTGAGGCTGTGATGCTGGGTTGGGACTGTGCAGATCCAGGGGCATCCCAGGTGCTCACCCCAGGCTTCCCTTGCTCTTGCTAGCATCCACAGCCAGTGATGCTCCTCAGCAAAACACCTCGGCGTGGGTCCCAGGAGCATTTGGACCTAGTGCTTCCTTTTGGGCTGTGTAGGTACCTGGGCAAGCGGGCTGGGGAGGCCAGTGGGCACCAGGCAAGCTGCGGTGCAAGCTCTCACACTGAAAAGCTGCACTGGAGGGGCAGGCGGATGTCCCCTCCAGGAGCGAGGGATGGAGGCAGAGGTCCTTCAACCGACCCCAAGCCTGTGTTTCCTCAGCATCACAGCACAGGGGTCTCCCGCTGCTTCCCACGAAAGGCAGCCCTGGAACGAGCACAGAGCCCTACCCACACCCTCCCCCCAGCCAGGCCCCCCGCGTTTTCGATGGGGAACGTGTGGAAAGGACCAGGGGGAGCTATTAATGATCCAGAGAGCGTTCAGCACGGATGCTTTCGGGCGGAGGGGCCTGCAGGTCAGCACATGGTTTGGATTTGGCCTTCCCCCTCCCTTCAGCTAATTAGGCTGAGCACAAGAGAGCGTTCCCAACGGATGCCGAACACGTGCGCGGCACAAGCATCACCTCCTGTGGGGGTGAGGGGGTGAAGAAGGCTCCCGGGGGTGCGTGAAGCAGGCAGGTACCCCAGGGAGGTACATGGGAATTTGGATGTGGAGGGAGGGAACGAGGTTTTAATGAAGGGGTTTGAACTCGTTGTCTGGCCCGGGTTCAAAGAATGCAAGAACAGGAATCACGCGCATAAATGCGGGTGGTGGGAAGGGGCTGGCGGGTGGCCAGGAGGACCGAGGTTACTGCAACACAGGGCTCCTGCTCTCCCTGCACTGCCCGAGCCCGCAGCCATGCCCGCCTCTGCCCTCCAGCTCTGCAGGGCCATGGGAAAAGGGGGATCCCTTCCTCTCTTGCACCCCCTTACCTCTCCCCAGTACCCACAGGCACCCTCAAACCGTGTGGTGGAGGCACCTGGGGGGCTGTGTGTCAGCTGAGCTACAGCTGAGAGGTCACCACTGGGTGACAACTGTGTCCCCTACCTTGCTCCAGCTATGAGAGCCCCAGGCAAGCAGAAGGAAAACAGGGCTGGGGGCTCCAGGAGCTGCCATTTTCAGGCTGTTTCCTGTCTCCTTGAGGAACAGCAGCTTGCAGTTTCCTGGTGGTGCTGGAGGGAATGCAGGGACACAGGGACACAGGAGAGGAGCTGTGGCTATGTTGGCAACTGGTGACACCAGTGTAGATGGGGATGTGAGACCGTTTAGATGCATGAAATCTCATTTCATGGGGGAAACCCTGGCCCAAAGCTCTCACCCCTTCACTGCAAAGCCAAATGTTTGAAATGCTGAGGGCACTGCAGCTCTGGAGGGATGGGGATGCCGCTGGGTATCCCTGCCACCCCTGGCACCAGGAACCACCCTGCAGCTCAGCTCTCCATCCTGGCCGCACAGCCTGGGGAGTACAGGGATGCAGCACTTCACCCAAGGATTCCTCCAGCTCCTGGTTGGGTCCTGCTGCAAGGGACAGTGCCAAAACCAGGATGTGAGTCTGGAACTGGTGCTCAGTGAAGTCCTGTCCCCGGCTGGGGCTTCTGGCAGCTGGCAGCTTGAGTCGATGCAAATGAAATCCTCCCACCGCCATGGTCCCCAAACCACATGGATGAAGATCTCAAACCTGCCATGAACCCACATCAGCAAGTCCAGCAGTCCTCAGGGCCTGGGCCATTCGTGAGCACCTCCAGCATCGCAGCGTGGTGTCGGAAAGCAACACCGGATTTCCCAATCCAGCTGAAAGCTCTTCAGATGTTCTGCTGCTTTGATTATTTGACAGACCATGTTTTTTAAATTATTCTTGTATAAATATTTACGCATTTTTACAAGAACCATGCTTTGAGCAACAGGCCATGGCAGAGGGGAGGGGGCTGGATGCTGGATTGCTTCATCCCTGTTTCGCAGGTCAGCTGGGGGTTGAGCAGGATGGATGGTGGGGGATGCCGGCTTGCACCCATGCCCGGGCCCTGGGCGATGCACACTTGGTGCTGACAGCTCCCTCCCAAACAAGAAGTGGCTGGTTGGTGTGATCCTGCCCCTTCCCCTTGCTCCCCGGCTTTCCCCTCCCAGAGGAGCAGAGCCTGGCCAAGCACTGGATGGGCTGGGAGCCAAACTGCCTGCTGTGGGGTGCACGCTGCCAGCTGCTGCTGGAGTCCCATGCAGCCCCACACACATCCCAGGCCTTGTCCCTGGCCTCGTGCCTGGCCCCTTTGCATGGCCAGGTCTGAGAAACACCTCCTGCAGCCACCCTGAGCCAAGAAAGCCCCTTCACTGCCCTGCCACTGGGCAGCAAGGCAGGGACATAGCTGCTGGCAAGATGGAGACCACTGCGCTGTTCCCCACAGCCACCCTGGGTACAGCTCCTTTGTCTCCCACTCCAGCATTGCACCCCAGCACAGCCTTTGAATCCCGGACCAGGTCAAGGGGAAGGCGGTGGGTGCCAGGAACCCCTGCAGGCATCCTGGAGAGAGAAGGGGGTGGATGGGTTGGGGGGCTCTGAGGACAACTCCAGCCCCCATACCTGCTCCCGAAGCCCTGGGGCCAGGGCTGCATGGGCAGCGACGGCAGCAAAGCCCCTTGCTGTCGTGGGGACCCTCCCCGGCAGCCCCATCCTGCTCCCCAGGACTGTTGCTGTGGTTTTGGGGAAGGATGAGGGTGAGCTCCCCCCCTCCCCCACCCACAGATGGGATCCACAACCCAGGCTTGCGTTTTCCGCCGAGCTCAGCAGAAATTCACTCAGAAGGTCAGTGACCAGAGAAAGGGACGATCCATCATTAAATAAATTGTTTTCATTTCCCAGGATAAAGGGGAGGAAAAGGGGGTGGAGGGAGGGGGTGTGTGTGTGTGTGTGTGTTGGACCGGGACTGAAAGAACAAGGCAGGAAAACCACCCCCCGCGCTCCCTGCCGTTAGAGCCTCGGCTCCTTCTCCGTGCTCTCACAGGGTTTTTACAGCCAAAGCTCTTAATGTGATTATAATAATTATTTCTTTCCTAGCATTTTTTTCTTAATAAACAGCCTCTTTTGAAACATCGCCGGGGGAAGCCAAGACTCCAGCTGAGCCCTGGCCCGGAGGAAGGCGCAGGGGCTGGGGGAGCGTGCGAACATGCGCGGGTGCGTGCAGGCAAGCACGTGTGTGCGGGAGCATGCGGGCGCCCATGGGGGCACCTTGGAAGGGGATGACTCAAGCGGAGCGTGCGAGCACACCCCGGGCTGTGAGCACCCTGTGCTTCCGCGGGACGAGCAGGCAGGGGGCTCCTCTGTGCCTCTCTCATGGTCCGAGTGCCACATTGAACCCCCCCTTCACACCCCTGCTTTCCTGATCCTCTCTGTGTTACCCCCCAGCTCCGGGGCCAGGCTTTGAAATCTGTTGAAAAGAAAGCCTTTTTGCCAAAATAAACAGCCTGTCATGTTAAATCACTCTCCCTTCCTCTCTGCTTCCCCTGCCTGCATCCCCTGTCTCCATTCCAGCCTTTTTGCTGGGGGCCATGCCACTTGGGGTGAACTCCTGACTCAGGCAGTGCTGGCGCTGGGGCCAGTGCAGAGCCAGGGTGCTGTGTCAGAGCATCACCTACATCCCACATCTCAGTCTCCAATGCCAGCTCCTCCACCTGCCAGCTCCAGCATCTGATGATGTCTTTCTGTGGCAGTGGCACCTTGCAGGGCCCAGGACTCAGCAGTGACACTGCACATGGCATTCTCAAGCTCACCATGACCCGGCAGTGTGTGCTCGCAGCCCAGAAAGTCAACTGTGTCCTGGGCTGCATCAAAAGGAGCGTGACCAGCAGGTCAAAGGAGGTGATCCTGCCCCTCTGCTCTGGTCTCATGAGAATCCCCCTGCAGTCCTGTATCCAGCTGTAGGACCCCAACACAAGAGGCATGTGGAGCTGCTGGAGAGAGTCCAGAGGAGGCCACAAAGATGCTCTGAGGACTGGGGCAGCTCTGCTATGGAGACAGGATGAGAGAGCTGGGCTTGTTCAGCCTGGAGAAGAGAAGGCTCCAGAGAGACCTTAGAGCAGCTTCCAGTGCCTAAAGAGGCCAAAAAGAAATCTGGAGAGGGACTTTTGGCAAGGGCCTGTAGTGACAGGACAAGGGGGAATGGCTTTGGGCTGACAGAGGGGAGATTTACATTAGATATTAAGAAGAAATTCTTCCCTGTGAGGGTGCTGAGGCCCTGGCACAGGTTGCCCAGAGAAGCTGTGGCTGCCCCATCCCTGGCAGTGCTCAAGGCCAGGTTGGACAGGGCTTGGAGCAACCTGGTCTAGTGGAAGGTGTCCCTGCCCATGGCAGGGGGTTGGAACTGGGTGAGCTTTAAGGTCCTTTCCAACACAAACCATTCTATGATTCTATGATCCTATGGAGGATCAAGCTGGGTGAGGGATGCTAGGGGCTTGCTGCAGCCACCTATACACCCCTGCCTCGTCAAGTCCTCCCATGCCCTGCTTTTTTTCCCCCGTTTCTCGCTTGTCCTTGCTCTTTCAGGGTTGTTTAATCTTTCCTGTCTCTAATGGAGCAAAAATTCGCAGAACCATAAAATGCTGAGATGGAAAACAAGCAATTAGCTCATTCAGCCCTGCCCTTCTGCCAGTGCCAGGCCATTCCCCACCAGCCTCCCAGTGACTCGTTTGGACTGAGCACCATGAGCTCCAGCCATGTCTTCCATGGCCTGACATTGCTGCTAGGAAATCTTCCTCAAAGTCTCACCTCCAATGGTGACATGCTGCGTATGAACACATCACTGCGTTACATGTCTTGGTACTGCTCTGAATGCCCAGCCCTGTACTGTGCCTGGTAGTGCGACTTGCCCCAGCACAGCCCCCCTGTGCCTGGTAGCATGGGTAGCTGCTCCTCCAGGGCCTGATCCTGGTCCCTCGCCTATTGAGGAGAGGGAAAGTAAGGGGAAATGGGGGAAGAAAAAAAAAGGGAAAAGAAGAAGGGGAAAGGAGAAGGTGAAAAGGGGAACAAGGGAGGAAAAAGAGAAAAGGAAGTGGAAGGGGAAGGAGAAGGGAAAGGGGAAGGGAAAGGGGAAAGGGAAGGAGGAAGGTAAAGGAGGAAAATAAAAGGGGAAGGAGGAAGTAAAAGGGGAAAGGAGGAAAGGGAAAGGGTAAGGCTCTGGCCTGTGGGAAGGGGCAGAGGGCATGATTTTGCAGTATCTATCTCTTAATGGTGGCACCAGGAGATCCACAAAGTGCAGATGCCAAAGGCAGTGAGGAGCTGGGGGGGTCACATCACACTTGCTCCTCCTGGCACCACAGCTCTAGCACTGATGGGAACAGGACATCAGGGTCGTGCTGTTTCCCTCACCAACACCAAGCTGTGCCGGGGGGCAGCCTCATCTCCCCACCCTGATCACCCACCATTCCCAGGAATCACAGAATGGTTTGGGTTGGAAAGGACCTTAAGATCATCAATTTCCAACCCCTCTGCCATGGGCAGGGACATCTCACACTAGACCACGTCACTCAAAGCTTTGTCCAACCTGGCCTTGAACACTGACAGGGATGGGGCATTTATCACACCTGTGGGCAAGCTGTGCCAGTGCCTCACCACCCTCACAGTAAAGAACTTCTTACTCATATTTAACCTGAGCTTTCCCTGTTTAAATTTAATCCTATTTCCCCTTGTCCTAGTGCTAGAGTCCATGATGGAGAGTCCTTTACGGGCACGGCATGCACTTCCTCTCTCCGGGATTTGTGGGAGATGCAGGAGGACTGGGGTGCAGCCACGAAGTCAGTGCGGAAGCAAGAGGCAGCCTTTGCCGTGCTGTGGCCAGAGCTGCCCTAACCCCAGGGGCTGAGCCTGCCCCAGGCCCCTCTCTGCAGGGGGAAGGCGAGCGAGGCCCGGCTCAGCTCTGAGCACAGCCCTTGACTCCGCAGCATCTGCTCCTCCTGGCGGCGGCTGGGCTGGGGACCGCCGGGTCTGCGGCCGTAAGCGCCGGTTTGCGCGGCCTCCCGTGGCGATGCTCCCCGCGGCCAGCGCCGCCGCCGGCAGCCGTGCCGATGGGAACCCACGGTGATCGCGGGTCCGGCGTTACCGGGGTGACAACGGGGCCTACTGGAGGGGAGCCTGGCCGGGACCAGGGCTCTGCCAGGCCGACGGGCAGGGGGGTCTGCGCACATCTGGTAAGCTTGAGCCTGAGCCTTGTGTGTGCACTGGCTGGGCACTGTGCTGAGCACCTCCATGGCGGTGTGGGGTCCTGCAGCCCTCCCACAGTCACCCCAGCATAATGCAACACAAGCTAGGAGCAAACTTGCCCGGACAGCTCCAGGCAGCTGAGATGAACTGGGCCAGGGTGGGAGGGCAGTGGGTTGCCTTCATCTGTCACTGGCTGTGAGGGGATGTTGCTGCCAGGAGAGGAATGGGAGGCCACAGCGTCGTCTTGGTGTGACCCACTGGCTGAGCATTCCTTATCACACCCTTGGACTGCCTGGCAGGCCACTGTGTGACTTGGTTCCCTGCCCTGGGTCTGCCCTGGGAGGACACGGTGCTCCCACCAGCTCTCCCTGGCATGTGCCCAGTGGCCGCGCTTGTCAATGCCTGGCTGTGACTTCCCTCCACCCACCCTGCGCTGGCTCCCAGCCCTGCTCTCCCTGCCCACATACTTCAGCTCCTGCTCTGAGCAGGCTTGGGACAGCAGCAGAGCTGCCATGGCAGCCAGAGCTTCCCACTGGCACGGCTCCCTCAGGGCCACCGTGCCCCATGAGAGGCATTGGCTTGAGCATTTCCAGCAGGCCAAGGACATCCTGCTGACCCCGCTGGAGGATGCCCATGCCAGGGAGCCCCACTTCCTTGTGGACTATGCCAGGAACTTGGAAACCTTCGAGTTCTCTCTCTGTGCCTCCAAGGATGCTACCACTATGAAAGTCCCCCTGTGGACTCACAGTGATGCCCTGCAGGTGTTGGTGTACTGGCCTGGGGACACCCCAGTCAGGCACCATCTGGGACTGGACATCTGTGATATCTGGAAGTGTTCTGGGGACGACTTGGAGGACTGGACCAGTACTCTGTGTGTGATGGAGCAGGAGGGTGGTGCGGGGTGCCTGGTTCCAGTCAAAGTCCTCCAGCACCTGAAAGAGCTCCTTGTTTTGGCCATCGTGCATTGCCAGTTCTGCTTCCTGCTTCAGCCAGGTGTGGAGGCCAGTGGGACGCTTCCCTGGCTGGGAGCTGCCTCCAGCATGGCTGAGGAGCCCAGCTCGGTGGTGGTTCCTGTTCAGACAGGCTGGGGCACAAGTCCCTGTGTGCGTGGCCCACCCAAAGTCTGCATGAAGGAGCAAGAACCCTGCCATGTGCTGGGACAGGTTTTGCCCTCAGCTAACAAAGGGGAGATGCAAACTCCTCCCTGCCATCCCACAGCAGCAGTCACCCTTGGGAATCTGCCCTGGGCTGATGGCACTCTCCTTGGGACGTGGCAGCTCCACACAGCGTTCACGCACCTCTGCCTTCAGTCCCCAGAGAGGGTTTCCTCAGGGACTTGGTGTGCTTGGCTCACCCAAACCCCCATCTCTCCTGGACTCCAAGCGCCTCCTGCTGCCTGGAGGAGGCTGAGAGTGAGCTGGAAGTGCATCAGGGCTGGATCAGGACCTTGGGGCTGGACCAGGGCCTCCAGGCATGGGTTTGACCCCTGCATGGGTCCCCAGATGGGAATGGTGTTCCTGGGAAGGATATGGTGGGAAGGGACCCTGGGAATGCCCATAGGGGGTCCCATCAGCTCTTCATGGATTTCCATTTTCAAAGGAGCTTCTTGAAGTAAATCTTAGCCCTGATGGAGAGGTGATGTGAGAGGACCAGCAGGTCTAGAATTCTTAACCCAGCCCCAGCAAGCCCACTTTCCCCTCCTTTCTCCATGTTCAAGACAGAGCTCTGTGTCTTCCTCTACCCCCACGGCCTGAGACCTTTCCTGGTCCATTCTTCTTGGACTACATTGTTTGTGTTGGCACTGTGCAGCCACCCAGCAGCATGGCCCTGTTCAGCTGCTCAGGGCTTCCTGCTGAGCCCACACCCACTGGCCCTGAGCCCTGTTAAAGCGATGCTCCTTCCCGAAAACCACACCAGTGGAGTTTGGAGAAAGGCTTTTGCTGGGGAACCACAGCCAAACCACAGCGTTGGAAGGGGATGAGTTGAGCGGGGTGAGACGTGCCCATGGGCATTGCAGCACACACCTGGGTTCAGCCCACAGGACCGGTTGCGGTAACCTCCTAACCACAGCCAAACCTTTCGCATCTAAGTGATCTCAGCACTGAAAATCTGCAGGAAGATGCCATGGTGCTCTCCCTGCTGATCCACGATCGCTGGAAGACCATCTGCTTTGACATTGTCCCTGTGGTGAAGAGGTGGCAGGAGCTGCTCCAGCTCAAGGGGCAGCGGAGTGACAGGGGCTTCCATGAAGGCGGCCTCTGGAAGGCCAAGGAAAAAGCCTGCTACATCCCTGCCTCTCCCCATTGCCAGCAGTGCACAAAGGAGAGTGACCTTGCTCTGGGGATACCCCATGGCTGGCAGCATGTCCAGATGCAGGCAAGAAAGGGGATGGGAAAGTGGAGGAACATTTCAGAAGGGGGTGAAGTCATCCCCTCAGGATACCAAACCTGCTGTCCTGTGTGTGGGAAAAACCTCAGCCAGGTTCCAAGCAGTTCCAGGAAATAGGGGAAGAGGAGGTAACTGAAGGATCCCCCCCAGTGGTTCGTGGGTGCTGAACCCTGGCCACATGGAGGGTGGCAGCTCTCTGATCCTTGCTCAGGCTTCGGGAGCGAGCCTGGGAATCCAGCAGCAGCAGCGTGATGTGGTGCCTGCCTGGGCGGGCTGCAGGAGGGAGCAGTGCTGGGATGACACACGTCTTGCCTGCCAGCACAACTACCCAGCTCCAAGGAGGGGCCTAGCATCCAGATGGACCAGCCCAGGATTAGTTTGGGCACAAAATGGTCCAACTCGATGCTTGGCCCCTCCTTGAGGCCTCTCCAGTGCAGCCTGCAGCCCTCCCTGCTGCATGTAGGAGTGCACAATGCCGCTTTGCTTCCCCTCCTGTCTCTCCTGGAATGGCAGAAGCTGCTCAGCAGCATTCCCATACTGCAGTTTCCCAGGTTCCTCTTAGCCAGAGGTGGGTATGGGAGGAAGATCCAGGATGGTGCATGCCTGAGGCCATGTGGGTGGCTGGGGGAGACCCCCATGCATTCAGGTCATTGCAGGTATCCTCTCCCCAGCTGTGAGGATACAGGTCTCTCGGTTTCTCAAGCCAGATCCTCTACTGCACACACTGACAGCTGGAAAGCAGACCCCAATACCTGGGCCCTCGTGCAGCTACCCACTGAGGGCAGGTCCTGCTGGGACACAGCCTGCTTTGACATCCTGCTCAGCCAGGAAATGACAGACCCTCAGCTGGTATTGCAAGGCAGAGCATGGCAGTGCCAGAAACCACCTGGGTCGGGTAGCTTAGGGTGTGCTGGAGTTTGGCCTCCAGCTGCTGGCATGTGCTACCCATCCCCATTGGAGGCTGTGGGAGGATGGAGATGCTGGGGCACGAGGCTCAAGCAGAGCAGGGAGCCCTCTCCTGTCACTCCCCACCTGCCTCTGCTTAGTTCCAGATGTACCAGATCCAGGATGTGCACACCACTCAGGAATGTGCCAGCTCCTCTCCAAGATCCAGTGATAAATCCCTCAGCAGAGCTGAGAGCGATCATGCTGCCACCCCATCTGGGCGTCTCGAAACTCAGGGGGGGTGCAAGGTACGCAGTGGGGCCAGGGAGCAGGATGCTGCCATGTTGCTTTATTGAGGAAAGGTGGCACTGGAGGGCAAGTACATGTCTGCTGCAGCTGGGTTGGGGATGCACGGCCACTCTGCTCCCCTGGTAGAGCTGGGTGCCAGGGCAGGTTTCATCCCAGGATGCCTAATCTGGGGTGGGGGGTGGCTGTTGTCTTGCACTGTTGGGCTCTGTTGCAGGTTGATGGTGGTGGTAGGGGAAGTGACCTGTGCACAGATCCTGCATGCAGTCCTCATGTCAACTTGATGGGGCTGCCTGGGACAAGGGGTGCCAGGCCACCAGGGTGGGAGTGACTATGCACAGGCACTGAGAGAAGGGGTTTTGAGTCAAGTCCTGCATCTGCCAAGCCACAGCCCTCACCTCCACATCCCCTGCTCTTCCAGCTTCTCCCTCCGGCTCTGGCTTGGGTTGCTGGGTGCTGTGGTGTTTCCTGCCGGCATCATGGGGAGAGGGGGTGCTTAGAGCCTGCTGCGGCGGCAGCACCTCAGGGCATCTCGCAGGGCGTGCAGCACACGGTCCACATTCCTTCTGGTCGAGTTGCAGCCCATGAGGCCGATTCGCAGGACCTGGGAGAAGGGCGAGTGTTTCCCTGCTGTGCCCACCTCTGCATCCGTGCTCTGCGAGCAGAGTGGCTTGTGGCAAAGCACGGGCTCCGTTTGGAGCAGGGGCACGGCCGTGTGCGCTGCTGGGTGTAAGTGGATGTGTACAACTCCGTGTTTGCTCCTGTTTTAACACACAGCTCCTCTAAAGATGTGTCACCCTGCTAATTACGTGCGCGGTTACTCAATTACGCGTGGCGATTGTGTGTGGTTAGCAGCCGCTATGCGCCGCTGCAGGGGACGGGATGCATCCAGCTGTGTGTGCGCTGTTCGCAGCCAGGGAGCACCAGTTAACTGTGGGCCATGGGTGCAGTTCCAGCTGGGTCTGGTGCCCGGCCATGGGCAGCGGGAGGGGAGCGCGCTACCCACCTTGCCCACTGAGGGGCCCAGGCCCCCGGAGATCTCGATGGCATGGTTGTCCATGAGAAAGGCTGTGATCTCCTTCCAGTCGTAGCCCTCAGGCACCCTGACGGTGGTGATGGTGGGAAGCCTCGCTTGCTGGGGAGGAGAGAAACTGGATTAAATCTGCATTCCCTGGCTGTTGCCCTGTCCCTCAGTGAGCCCAGCTGCTCGCCAGGAGAGAGCATCTCTGGGTGTTTTTTCCTGCAGTATCAAAAGCTGCCCAGGCACATCTCCAGCTGCTCAGGGCCATGTTCTCACGCTGCCCCTGCACCATGGTGGTGGGTTCACCCTGCACTCACCTCCTCCTTCACATAGAGCTCAAGCCCCAGGTCGCGCAGCCCCTGGCACAGCTGGGCACAGTTGACCCGGTGGTGCTCCCAGGAGTTCTCCAGACCCTGCAAGAGAGGAGGGAGAAGGTCTCTGCCGCTGGTGGTACCTCCTGGCACTCACCACTCCCCCAACCCCACCAGCACTGCTGGTGCCCCTCTGCCTGCCTGCTGCCACTCACCACCTCTGCCAGCATGGCCAAGCCTTCCCGCAGGCTGAAGAAGCTGTTGATGGGAGCCGTGTGGTGGTACCTGCAAAGCCCAAGGAGCAGTCAGTCGGTTCAGCTCAGTCCATGGCAGAGCAGTACTGCAGCTCATGGTGGGGAGAACCAGGGCTCGGCGTCACCCCTCCTATTTGCACAGCGCAGGGGGGATGCAAATCCCCCCCCAGAACACTTGGTGACCGGAAGACAGGATGATGGGAAGACAGGAACCCCAAGCTGGCGCAAAAGGCTGTGGGTGGGACAGCTGCAGCCATCTGTCCTGGGACAGCCTGCCCTCACCTTCGCGGCTCTCCATCACAGCCCCAGTAGTTTGCCAGCCAACGTATGTCCAGGTAGAAGGACGGGGGGCTTGTCTTCCTCCTTAGAACCTTCTCCCTGATGAAGCAGAGTGTTGGGGAGGAGACAGACCTTGACTCCATCAGCTCTGGAGTGGGGTCAGTTCTGCAGGAGGGCCTCTCCAAAGTGAACACAGTGGCTCCAGCTGCTATGGCTGTCCAGAGATGGGCAGGGCTCTGGCCACACAGAGCTGCTGCTGAGTGCACTCTTCAGAGCAGGGCTGGAGCAGATGTCTGGCAAAGCAGGGGGTTGCCAACCCTCATTGCCTTTCCCCGCGTCAGTACAGGTTTGCCCCTACCTGGCTTGCTCACTGAATGAGATGGGCGCGCTTCCGGGGGGTGCATTAAGGACTTTCTGAGACCCCGAGTACAGGATGTCGATCTCTGCCCAAGAGGGGAGGCAGCTCTTTAGGCACCAGAGGCTCACCGCAGGGTCACGCTGAGCCCCCCCAAGCTCAGGGAAGCACAGAGTGGCACATGCTGCAAGTCCCATTTGTGTTTGGCCTGCACCAAGCACACCTAACACTTGACGGCTCCCCAAGGGGAACAAGCTCTCTGGCTGCAGCTGGACCAGTTTCTAATGCTGCTAGCCTGAAATGCGAGCAGTGAGTCTGATTCCACCTTCCCTTCCTCCTTTGTCCTCCCTTGTGAGCCCCCTTGTCCCCTGAATACCCATGATGGCACTGTGGTTCTTACCCTGCTGGTCCATGAAGATGGGGGCTCCCCCGAGTGATGCCACCGCATCCACAAGCAGCAGGCAGCCATGCCTGTGTGAAGACAAAGCTCAGCCTGGTGTCCCTGCCACCTCCTCTTGACACCTTTCTGCCTGCAACCCCTGCATCCTGGTCTCCCCAAGGCCACATGTCTCACTGGCAACCAACAACTTCCAGTATAACACAACTAGAGAAGAGACAGGGCATGTAAACCCCCATGCTCCAATCCCCAGTGGTGATGTTGGGGGCCTGCCAGCCCCCATAGGTGCCCACTGTGCACTGACCGGTGGCACAGCTTGCCCAGCCCCTCCAGCGGCTGCAGCACCCCTGTGGAGGACTCGCCATGGGTGATGAAGAGCACTGAGGGCTTGTGCTGTAGCAGGCCCTGCGAGAAACAGAGGGGAAGGTGACTGACCCTGTGGCCAGCTTGTACCCACTGCCCTGCATCATGGCCAGCACTCACCTCCTCAATGTCCCAGGGAGTGAAGTACTCGCCTGGGGGCTTCAGCAGTTCATGTACACTGGCTCCTGGGAGACATTTGGGCAGAGGCAGAGTGAGATTTTGGTGTGCCTTCACCTGGGCAGTCACCCACTCCGTGGGGAATTAGTTATGCATGAGCCATAAGCGTGGCCACCCACAGGGGATCCGGCCTCCCATGGATTTGCTCAGTGGAAAAGCTGTGAACCACTTAACTGGAGGGACATCACCCTGGAAAAAGCCTGGAGCGCTCTCTGGCTGCAGAAGCCGTGTCACTCACTGGCCACTGCTGCCGCGATGGGGACAGCAAGCCAGGGGTCACAATCTGGCATCCCACCCGCATGCATTTCCATGAGCCCCGCTGGTGCCATTTGGCTGTTCCCAGCATACCCAGCCTCCTGGCGATGTCGGCCGCACGCTGTCCCCAGATGCCATTGACAGCCACCAGCACTGTGTCGCCATGCTCTATCAGGTTGAGGAAGGCAGCCTCCATGGCACAGTGGCCAGTGCCACTGATAGCCAGGGTAAGCTGGTTCCGTGTCTGGAAAGCGTACTGGATGCCCACCTTAATGTCATCCATCACCTGTGGAGACAGGGGACTGACTGGCATCACTGTTGCCCTCCCATCCCCTCATGGGAGGTGAGGAAGAGGGGAGGAGGGGAGGAAGGCTGGGCCGGGGCAGCTCACCTGCAGCACCTCGGGGTGCATGTGGCCCAGGAGCTGCCGGCCGCCTGCAGCCAGGATGCGGGGGGGCACGTTGCTGGGCCCCGGCCCCAGCAGCAGCCTCTCTGGCACGGCCAGGGGCCGGAGCAGCCGCTGGGGCGGGAGGATGTGGAGCAGGTTGGCGGCCATGGTGTGGCGAGTCCGGAGAGGAGCAGCGGAGGCTGCCCGTGAAGCAAGCAGCACCGCAGCGCAGTGCATCCCGTGCCAGCAGAGACCAGCTTCCCCGTGGACCCTGACCCCAGGGCTCGGTGCTCCCCCCAGTGGCCTGGACTCTGCCCCTGGTCACCTCCTTGTCTGGTTAATGTGACACCAGCACCATCCCTGCTGTCTCAGCCCCCTCATTTGGGGGGATCCACGGGGGATTGCTCCTCAGGTATGCCAGCTCCTGGCACTCACAAGCAACCCCACAAGACCCCATCCCCATGGCTCCCAGAACACTGTGGTTGATGGTTTCCAACACCATTCCAGCAGGTGGGATCGCTGCTCCTGGGCACACAGGTTCTGTGCCATGGGATGGTTGAGCTGGGACTGGCACAGTCGTAACTCCTCCAGCAGCCCAAAGCTCTTGTTGGCCAGGATTCCCTGATCAAGGACCTGCTCTGCAGAAGGACGCCTGGCTGAGTGACTGCTGCCCAGAGGAGGCTGCCATTGCAGTGATTTCCACAAGGGCAGAGCCATCAGGTGGGACATGACCGCAGCCCCTGCTGCAGTGAGCTGTGTGCTCTGTGGGCTCAGCCTTGCTCGTGGGCATCTCAGCATGTCCTGATGATGCCACAGGCCACATGTGCCTGTTTCCCACCCCATGTGCCCAAGGCCCATCGTATCATGTCCAACCTCCAGCAAGTCTTTGTCATCCCTACTCTGAAACATGAGCAAGCTTACCACTGCTAGCTCCTGGTGGAACCAGGAGCAGGTTTCTAGCCAGAGCAATGTTTGAGCTGGATGGAAAGTCCCCCTTGGCAAAGCTGGCACTGATGGCTGGTGCTGAAGGCATTTGGGTGAGGGATGTGGGGCTGGCAACACTGGCAGGTGACAGCACTTCTGGCTGGGCAGCTGTATGGTCCTCTCTGAGAGGAGCTGGGAGCTGGCATGGCTGACACTGCTTGGAAACCACAGGTAGCCTTGGGACTGCTGTCATCATCTACCAAAGTGAGGACAAGAAGTCCTAATGCCCTGAGAAATCCTGAGATCTTCATCCTGTGCTCCAGCCACGTGCTCCTCTGGATGAGAAGCTGTGGCTGCCCCGTCCCTGGCAGTGTTCAAGGCCAGGTTGGACGGGGCTTGGAGCAACCTGGTCTAGTGGAAGGTGCCCTTGTCCGTGGCAGGGGGTTGGAGGTGGGTGAGCTTTAAGGTGCCTTCCAACCCAAACCATTCTATGATCCTGTGACTCCACACCACCAGGACTGCTGCTCGATGTTTGCAGCATCGTGAAAACACTCAGTCCCCCAAAACATCAGCAGGAGAGACCTATGCTGCTGTGGATGGGTGGATGAAGACACCTCGGCTGCTTGTCCTCCAGGGAGGTTTGTGTGAAGTGTGGGGCAGGGTGGGTCATGCGGGCATGGAGGGGGCAGGGAGGATGCACTGCTGGAAACAGCTGGCCGCCGAGGCGTGATCTCCTCTCCGCGCTGGGTTTAATTCCGCCGCGCAGACGGGCAGGGCGCGCCGGGTGCTGCGGGCTCCGGCGGCCTCGGGGGGCGATGGAATTCTGCCGGAGGCCGCCGGGGCTGGGGTCGGGGCAGGGGCCGGAGCGGGGCTTGGGGAAGGGGAGCCCTGTAGGGGGCAGAGTTACCGGGGGCAATCGGGGATGGAGGGGGGCGGTTGCCAGGCGACGGTTGCCGGGTGACACAGAGAGTTCCGCCCCTCCCAGCGCCCTTGCGGCGGCTCCGCAGCGCGGTCCGGGGGTGTGCGTGTGGGGGGGGTGGTCTGACGTCACCGCTCCATCCCCTGCTCTCTCTCTCCCGGCACACCCCCCCTTTCTCCGGGTGGTGTCGGCCAACCAGAGCGCGGGGCGGGGTGGGGGGGGGCGGGACCGCAGAGGCGGGGCAGCGGGCACCGGGCATCGGCACCGGCATCGGCATCGGCATCGGCACCGCACCAGCGGCTCGGCCTCATGCCGGCGCCGCCAGCCCACGGCTGAGCGCTGCGCCTCGCAGGGCCGAGCCGAGCCGAGCCGAGCCGAGCCGAGCCGATCAGGGCACGAGCACTAGCACTAGCACTAGCACTAGCACTGGCACGGGCATAAGCATAAGCACAGGTAGGGGCGGGCGGCATCGTGCGGGATGGGGCAGCTCCGCCGCGCTCGGGCGGGGCTGCAGTAGCGCGGACGCGGTCCCAGGGTGCTGGCCGAGGGAGATGCAGCCCCGGCAGGGCTGAGGCGGGGCGCGGGGGAAGCGGGGCGCTCCCTCCCCGGGACCGTCGGGGCGGGGGACTGCGGCCGGCGGGCGTTGTGCGGAGAGGCGCGGGGAAGGATGGAGGAGGGAGGGGGATGCCCGCGGGTCCCCAGCGCTGCAGCTGGCGGGTGCCGCCCCGGCTTCCAGAAGGATCCCGCCGGAGGGGGGGGGCCTTCCTGGGGTTGGGGCGATGCCTCTTGAGCCGCGGCACCAGCCTGGGGTGGAGAGGGGAAGGATGCTGTCCCCGCTGCCCGTAGGAGGGGGCATAGGGACTATTTTCCACCTCAGAGGCGTCCCAGCTCTCCCCTCCGTGGCAGGTGGCTCTGCCGTGATGCTGAACCATCTTGCACCATCATCATTATGCTTCAGAGTCAACAACAGTGCTGGAGGAAGCCACGAGAGCCCCATCTGGGGGTCTCACGCAGGGAGGAGTGGTGGGGTGGTTGCAAAGCCAAGGCCCTTGCATGCCCCACAAAGACGAGCTGTGCTGCTGACCTTGCGCTTGGGTGCAGCAGGGCAAAGGCTGCCATGTCACTGCGGGCCAGTGACGATGGCTTCTGTCTGAAGGAGTGGATGGTCCCTGGATGGAAGGGCTGGTGTCGAGCCCCATGCTTGGCCACTTTGGCTCCCAGAGAGCAGCCCTGCACCTGCTCCATTGTCTTTTTCCTCTTCCTCTTCTTCCTTTTCCACCCGCATGGGGCAGTGTCCCCTCCCCTGGACCCTATAGGCCCCAGTGTGCCAGCATCTCCCACCTTGTCCTGTCCCACGCCTTGGCTGCGAGGCTTGGGAAGGACAAGGAACTAGCTGAGCATATCTCCTGCCACTCCATGGCCGTGCTTCCACACCCCAGTGCCTGGAGTAGCCTCAAGGCAGGTGGTGTTGGTGGCATGGGGAGGGGCAGCAGACACCCTCGGGTTCGGCCAGGGGAGTGGTGGGCTCTGCCATCCATCCCTGCACGCTGCCACTGGCCTCCATTTTGTCTGGGAGATGGCAGCGGGCGCTGGCACAGATGCCGTCACCACTCCCCCCCCACCTCCCCGCATGTGGTCAGAGCTGCAGCCCCCAAGCCCCAGGCAGGGCCAGAACCTGGTGTTCTCCCCTCCTTCCTCCAGCTGCCCACCCCTGCCTGTGCCCAGCCGCACTGATAACCCACCGGAGCTCGCTGCCTTTTCCATGCAGCTTTTTCCCATTGTTGGTTTTAGTGTGCGGAAGAATGGATGGAGGGAGCAGGCGATGGAGCGTGAGGTGACTCGCCTTTGCAGCAGGGATAGGGAGCTGATCAGCAGCAAGCAAACCCCCTCATCCATGGCCTTAGATTTGCTTCCTGCGGATTTTAATCCACATGGAAATTCACCAGGAGCTGCACGTACTGCCCCAAAGTCGTTATCCCCCATTGGGGTGGGAAGGAGGCGAGGAGGCACAGGGGCAGGGTACCCAAGATGGCTCCAGGGAAGTGGGTGGTTGTTTTTCAGCTGGGGATGGGGGGGCTCCTCATGCCCTGAGCTGTCCTCCAAACTGCTTCCCCCACCCATGGGAAACTGCAGCGTCATGGCCCCTTGCTGTGCGCAGTGCTGCCATGTCATCTGGACCAGGTGCCCCAGCATCCCCCAACACCGTCCCTGTTGTCTCCAGAGGAAGGGCAGGGTCCCCTGATCTCAGACAGAGCTGGGGGGGGAGGGGGGGGAGGGAGGGGCAAAAAAGGGTGCAGGGTAACAGGGTAAGGGCTTGCTAAAACAAAGCCATTGGTGGCTGAGAGCACCACGGCTCAGGAGGCGCAGGCAGATGGGGCATCCGCCCTCACTGCTGAGGTGATGTGGGGATGTGTCGCGCAGACAAAAGGAGAAACTTACCTTTGATTTCCCTCAGTGCAGGCAGCTGCCAGAGGTGCCTGCGGCCCCAGGGAGGCAGCCCCTGCCTTGTGCTGGGTGCTGGGAATGTGGTGTCCTGGCTGTGTCAACCGTGTTAGCATCACTGGAACCCAGGTGTCCTGCAGCACCCAGGGGTCAGGCAGCACATTATGTCCCTGCAGCATCCTTGGGGGAGGAGCTGGCTGTGGGTGGCACCTGGGGACAATGCTCCCCGTCCCAATGGTCACCTCTTGGCAGTGGCAGGAGGGCTGCCAGTTGGTAGCCCTCTGACTTAAGAGAGCTCTCGTTAGCTAATCTCTGCCCAATTAATCTTAGCTGATCCAGTTAATCATGGCTCTCTAGGCCTTTTGCTCATCACCTAGGGCTGGCAGGGATGCTGTGGGCTGTGCAGGAAGCAGGGCGAGAGATGCCCTGCACAGCTGGGGGATAGATCCGGACCTTCCTGCCCCCTGGCACCATGTTCTGGGGACTCTACTGGCCTCCTCCACTGTCTCCTTTGTGCGTGGGGTGGTCCCAGGAGGATGCAGGGAGGAAGCCAGGAGTGGGGCCACGGTGCTGGCCCGCTCCCAGGGAAAGGCTGATAGCGGCTTATTGAATTTCTCTCGATGGCGGATTAAACAGGCGGTGGCTGACTATCCCCGGGCAGAGTGAGCTGTGCTTGAGCCACCCGCTGCCCTGGGGGGAGGCTGCCTGCCTCTGCCCTGCCTGCCCGCTGCGGTGTGTGCCCCTCTCCGAGGGATTCTGAGAACCTGCGGCCAGGGATGTGGGTGCCGGCTGTGGTTGGTGGTGCTGCCACATTGCATGGAGTGCAGGCTGACTGCGCAGAGCCAGGAAAATAGGAGTTGGGGAAAGGAAAAGAGGCTCATGAGAGAGCTGGGCAGGGGCTGCTGGCACTCTCAGGAGGCGCACGGTGCCGTCTGGAGCCCTCGCACTGCTGTGCCTGATAGGACTACATCGCTGCAGAGGAGCAGGAAGGAAGCAAGTGCTGACCGAGG